TGTACTTAGCATAACATCTTCAACATTCATCCAGGTTGTAGCCTGTGGCAGGATCTCCTTTTAAAGGCTGTATGATATTTCATTGCATGTATATATACCACATTTTCTTTATCCATTTATCTGTCAATGGACATTTGGATTGTTTTTACCTCTTGACTATTGTGAATAATGCTGCAAGTTAACATGGATGTGCAAATATCTCTTGAAGATCCTGCTTTGAATTTTTCTGGATATGTATCTAGAGGGGGAATTGTTGGATCATGTGGTAATTCTGTTTTTAATGTTTTGAGGAACCCGTATCCTGTTTATGGTCAAATGATCTTTAATAATGGTGCCAAGACCACATAATGGAGAAAAAGCAGTCTCTTCAACAAATGATGTTGGAAAAACTGGATATCCACATGCAAAAGGATGAAGTTGGACCTTACATTATATACAAAAATTAAATAAAAATGGATTAAAGACCTAAAACTATTAAATTACTAAGAGAAAACATGGGGGAAAAGCTTCAGGACATTAAATTTGGCAGTGCTTTCTTAGATATGACACCAAAAGCACAGGCCAGAAAAAATAAAAGTAGACTAATGGAATTACATCAATCTCAAAAATATCTGCATATCAAAAGAAACAATCTATAGAATGAAAAGGACTTTTATAGTTTTAGGTCTTACATTTGTTGAAGAGAGTGTTCCATTCCCCATTGTGTGGTCTTAGCACTATTGTTGAAGATCATTTGATCACATACAGGCTGGTTTATATTTCTGGGCTGTCTACTCTGTTTAGTTTTTTAGTTTTTATTATAAATGGAAAATTTATAATTATATATATTTCTGAGGTACAAAATGATGTTATGTTTTATGAATACAATGTGGAATAATTAAATCAAGCTAGTTAACATCCATGACCTCAAGTACTTAACAATTTTTTGCGAAAACTCTGAAATTTACTGTTAGCAATTGTGAACTGTACAAGACTCTATTATTAACTGTAATAGTACACGAATGCTGTGTAATAGATCTCAAAAACTTCACACATTTCTCCTTTTGAGACACTGTAACCTCAAGCTTCTGGGTTCAAGTGATTCTTCTGCCTCAGCCTCCCAAGTGGCTAGGACTGTAGGTACATACCACCATACCTGGCTGTTTTTTGTAGAGACAGAGTCTTGCTATGTTGCCCAGATTTGAATAGGTTTTCACTGTGTGTGAAACATTTTCTTTATTTATCTGTTGATGGACACTTAGGTTGCTTTCCCAAAGTGGCTACTGTGAATTGTGCTGCATTGAACTTGGGAGTACAGATATCTCTTCAACAAACCAATTTAAGATCTTTTGGATAAATACCTAGAAGTAGGATTGCTGGATCTGGGCTCACTATTCTGTTCCAATGGTTTACTGTATATGTCTGTCTTTATACCAGTACTACACTGTCTTGAATACTGTTGCTTTGTATTACCTTTGGAAATCAGGAAGTGTGAGGTCTCTAACTTTGTTCATCTTTTTCAAGATTGTTTTGGCTATTCAGGGTCCCTTAAGCTTCCATAAGAATTCTAGAGTGTTTTTTTATTTTTTTAAATCTGTAATACATGCCTTTGGGGTTTTGATGAGGACTGTATTGAATCTGTAGATTACTTTGGGTGGTAAGGACATTTTAACAATATTAAGTCTTCTAATCCATAAACATGGGATATCTTTACATTTATTTATATCTTTGATTTCTTTTAGCAGTGTTTTGTAGTTTTCTGTGTGAAGGTCTTTCATCTCCTTGGTTAAGTTTATTCCTAAGTATTTTATTCTTTTTGATGCTATTTTAAGTGGGACGGTTTGCTTAATTTCCTTTTTGGATTGGTTACTGTTAGTGTATAGAAACACAAATGATTTTTGTGTGTTGATTTTGTGTCCTGCAGTTTTGCTGAAATAATTTATTAGTTTTAACAGTTTTTTTGGTTATATGTGAATCTTAAGGATTTTCTACATATAAGATCATGTCATTTGCAAACAGATAATTTTACTTCTTCCTTTCCAATTTGGGTGCCCTTTATTTCTTTCTCTTGTCTAATTGACCAAGCTAGGACTTACAGTATTATGTTGAATAACAGTGGTGAAAGTGGGCATCCTTGTCTTGTTCCAGATCTTAGAAGAAAGCCTTTCAGTTTTTCCCCATTCAGTATGATACTATCTATAAGTTTGCCATACATGGCTTTTATTGTGTTGAAGTATGTTCTATACCCAGTTTTTGGAGAGTTTTTATCATGAAGAGATGTTGAATTTTATCAAATGCTTTTTGGCATTAATTAAAACAATCATTATGTTGATATGATGTATCACATTTATTAATTTGCATATGTTGAACCATCCTTGCATCTCTGGGATGAATTCCACTTGATCATAATGAATAATCTTTTTAATGTGTTGTTGGATTTGGTTTGCTAGTATTTTGTTGAGGATTTCTGCCTTTGTGTTCATCACTGGCCCATAATTTTCTTACATTGAGGTAGTTTCCTTCTATTCCTAGTTTGTTGAGTGTTTTTTTATCATGAAAAGGTGCTGAATTTTGTCAAATGCTTTTTCTCCATCAATTGAGATGATCATGTGCTTTTTGTCCTTCGTTCTGTTAGCATGGTGTCTTACGTTGATTTTTGTTATGTTGAACTATCCTTATATCTTTCTGGTTATAGTATATAATCCTTATAATGTGCTGTTGAATTTGGGATGCTAGTATTTTGTAGAGGATTTTTGCATCAGTATTAATCAGGGATATTGGTCTGTAGTTTTCTTGTTATATCTTTGTCTGGCTTTGGTATCAGGGTAATGCTGGCCTCATAGAATGAGCTTGGAGGTATTCCCTCCAGTTCTTTGGAAGACTTTGAGGAGCATTGGTGTTTGTTCTTTTATTTAGTAGAATTCTCTAGTGAAGCAATCAGGTCCTGGGTATTTCTTTGTTGGTAAGTTTTTGATTGCTGCTTCAATCTCCTTACCACTTTTTTTGTTTGTTTGTTTTAGAGACAGGGTCTTGCTCTGTTGCCCATGCTGCAGTGCAATGGCACGATCAGTGCTCACTGCAGCTTCAAACTGCTCGGCTCAAGTGATCATCTTACCTCAGCTCCCCGAGTAGCTAGGACTATAGGCACATGTCACTATACCCAGCTTTTTTTTTTTGGTCTCACTGTAATGCCTAGGCTGGAGGTGAACTCCTGAGCTCAAGAGATCCTTCTGCCTTGGTGTTCCAAAGTGCTGGGATTATAAGCATGAGCCACTATGTCCAGCCTCCTTACTAATTTTAAGTCTGTTTAGATTTTTTTTATTTCTTCATGGTTCAGTCTTGGTAGGTTATATGTTTCTAACCATAGAACTTATCCATTTCTTCTAGGTTATTCAATTTGTTGGTATATAATTGTTCAAAGTATTCTCTTATAATCCTTTCTATTTCTGTGCATCAGTTGTAATGTTCCCTTTTCCCTTTGATATTAGTTATTTGAGTTTTCTCTTTTGTTCTTAATTTAGCTAAGGGTTTGTCAATTATGTCAATCTTTTCAAGATTACCAACTCTTCTTTTTTTTTTTTTTTTTTTTGAGACAGAGTCTCGCTTTGTTGCCCAGGCTAGAGTGAGTGCCATGGCGTCAGCCTAGCTCACAGCAATCTCAAACTCCTGGGCTCAAGCAATCCTTCTGCCTCAGTCTCCTGAGTAGCTGGGATTACAGGCATGCACCACCATGCCCAGATATTTTTTCTATATATATTAGTTGGCCAATTAATTTCTTTCTATTTATAGTAGAGACGGGGTCTCGCTCTTGCTTAGGCTGATTTCGAACTCCTGACCTGGAGGGATCCGCCTGCCTTGGCCTCCCAGAGTGCTAGAATTACAGGTGTGAGCCACCACACCCAGCCTTCTGTTCTTTTATTTATTTCTGTGCTAATCTTTATTTTCTTTTTTCTTTCTAATAACTTTCAGGGGTTTTATTTGTTGTTGTTCTTTTTCTGGTTTCTTTGATTAGGTTGTTGATTTGAGATCTTTTTTTTTTTTTTTTTTTGAGACAGAGTCTCACTTTGTTGCACAGGCTAGAGTGAGTGCCGTGGCGTCAGCCTAGCTCACAGCAACCTCAACTCCTGGGCTCAAGCAATCCTCCTGCCTCAGCCTCCCGAGTAGCTGGGACTACAGGCATGCGCCACCATGCCCGGCTAATTTTTTATATATATCAGTTGGCCAATTAATTTCTTTCTATTTATAGTAGAGACGGGGTCTCGCTCTTGCTCAGGCTGGTTTTGAACTCCTGACCTTGAGCAATCCGCCCGCCTCGGCCTCCCAAGAGCTAGGATTACAGGCGTGAGCCACAGCGCCCGGCCTGAGATCTTTTTTAATGTAAGCTTTTACTGCTCTAAATTTCCCTCTTAGTATTGCTTTCTCTGTGTCCTGTAAATTTTGGTATGTTGTATTTTTGTTTTCATTTGTCTCCAAATGTTTTCTAATTTCCTTTGAGCTGTAAATTAAATTTAATTAAATTTAAAATTTAATTTTAAAGTTGTATGGAATATAAAATGGTTTCAGGTTCAGTTATCAGAGGAGGAATACAACGAAGGGAAATAGCAGATCCTGTTAAAATGGCAAGAAATAGCCTAGATTGTAGATTTCTTATTTCTAGGGCTTCTTTTGTTAAGATATGCTTTTACAAAATGGAGATTTCGCACAGAAAATTCCCCTTGTTGTCCATTGGTCTAGGAATAGTGAGCAAAAAAAGGTACTATTTCATTGACCATCCACTAAGTACAAATCATTGTGCTCAGTACTGGAGATTCACAGATGAGGAAGACGACATTTGTGTCTAGAATTTCAGTCTTTTAGGGAGGATGAAAGAAGGTTGGTGGTAAATCAGTAACTTAATGAGAAGAAACTTGGCAGAGAAAACTAGCATTTAAGAGCACTGCCATCTTTATTCTCTGCCCAATGCTACCTTGAGTTATATAACACTTGCTTTAAAAAAAAACTGTTTTTTTCCCCCCCACTAGGCACAACACTATCACTGGGCGATGGCTGACCAGGTTCCAAGCTGTGTGGGATCCTAAACAAGAAGACTGTTTCATGATTGGCAGCATGGCCTATCCACGACGGGTAGAAATCTTCCATGAGACAGGAAAGAGGGTGCATTCTTTTCTTGGTGGAGAATGCCTTGCTTCTGTGTGTTCCATCAATACTGTGCACCCGACTCGGTATATTATGGCTGGAGGTAATTCCAGCGGGAAGATACATGTTTTTATGAGTGAAAAAAACTGCTGAGTTTTTGGTTTAGGAACCCAATTTGTTCAAGTTGATCACTGTCTAAGGGACCTAGTGATTCATGTGCCTTAGTGTGTTTACTTAGTAATATGCTATATTTAGCAAATACAAAATTGCTTTATTAATAACTATGAGTAGAATGTCCTTTTAGTAAGAGAGAAGACTTGGAGGATGTTTCTATAGGATGGGGAGGGAATTTGAGGGAAGGCTGAAGAGCCTTCACTTTCAATCAGACAGTATGTTGAGAAATTCTAACATTATAAATTATAAAGTTTTGAATGATCAGTATTAAAAGTTTTTGTGGTCTAATGATATGTTTTTGGTTCTATAGTAACATATGGATTTGTGGTTGATTTTGTAGTTTGGAATGAATATTTATTTCTAGACTCACACACTGGAAGGGATCCTTGAAAGATCATCTAACTCAGTGATTTTTGAACCTTTTAATTTTTTTTTTTTACCTTTTTGCCTCTTGCCTCTAAGGTAAATCTTATGTGAAATCCCAAGATAACTGCTGAGAAGCTTTGGTTTACCTGGGGCAGGGCCTGCGTCTGAGTGTGCTGAGCCTTTCCTTTCCCCCTCTTCTACCTGGTTCCTGAAACACCTCCAGGAATCCCAGGACTCCTAGGCACAGGGTTTGGATCTACCCTGATTCCTATATAGGGATATTCCAGTGTAAGATTGTCCTCAGACCAGTGTTTTTCAGACTAGGGGTTGTAGCTCTTCACATGAAATCAGTTTAATGACCAGTGTTTAAAAAAATGAAAAGGAAAGAATTAGTAAAGAACAGAAAACACAATAAGTATTATTTTATAAAACTTACATATACACATATATTTGTAGGTATATATATTTATGTATACTCTGATGTAAAATGTATTTTTGCATTAGTATTGCACTGTGGGTCATGGCTAAAGAAGTGAAAGCTACCGCCTTAGAATGTCCCAGACACCCGTATCTGTCCCTGCCTTTAAATTCTCCATAGGAGAGTCAATAATAGCCTGTTAAGTGAATACCTTCATTCCAACTCATACTTTGGAGAAATGTTATGAAATACCACTTTGGGTATTTCTGTATAAAAATGTTTTTAGAAGTTATGGTAATGTCATCGTGTCTGTTGTTAGGAAAGGGAGCCGCTCAATCAGTGACTGATATTACTGTGTGACATCTATCCAACTTTTTTGATTGTTCTTCATTGCCAAACTACTCCTGAAAGACTTGTAAAGAGCTTTGGCGATATGTTTGAATTCTAAGAGGAAATATTATTAAATACTTTCTTATAATTATATATCACAGAAATAAAGTGATGTAATTTCCTTGAAGAAAATTTGTTTTCTAAATACTTTCCTTCTTTATAATTAAAATTTAAGTGTTTTGAGGTTTAGTTTATTAATAGGTTGAAGGTGTTTATAAAGACTAGGAGTTCTCTATGTTCAACGTGATATGAGTAGAGGAATTGATAAGTCAGATGAAAACATTAAGAAAGGGAAAAAGCTAAGTGAGGTTGAGTTATATTTAAACTATTCATGAAACATTGTGAAGGAAGGCTTTAGGCTCCCTTTCCCTTTTTTATACCGATTAACTTCACAGGTTCTTGAGTGGGTCTATGGGAATTTTTTTTTTTTTTTTTTCAAAATATTACAGGGGTACAAATGATTTGGCTACATGAATTGCTTTTGTACAATTTGAGTCAAAATTATAAGTGTGTAGGTGGGAATTGTTCTTTTTAAGATGCTGGAAACTACTCTTAATCAAATTAGTACCATTATTTAGGCTTTGAATACTTAGTGGTAGTTGCCTGGCCTCTGCAATAAATGTTAGCAAATTCTTGATGTTTCTCACTTTTGTGGTTTCTTTTGCCATTGTAGCTTCATAAACTGTGCTGTTTATATCCAATTTTACTTAATAGGGTTATATCTTCTTTAGGCAATGCAGGAAGTTAAGGAGAATGAATGAGTAGAGACTTGTTTCTTGATGATAAGCTTTATAATGGAGTAATTGTTTAAATCTAGAAAGCACATAAAGGAAAATTATCTCCCTTGGGACATTCTTACACTGTAATCTGTAGTGAAATGTACTTCTAACAGAGACTCGCTTACAGCTGTGTAGCTTCTATAATTATGTATTTATTATGATTGCTCCCTTCAGGATAAACCTTTTCTGTAAGTTTGGCCTTTATGATATCTTTTAAGCATATAAGCGCTGAATTCCACTTGAGTTATTTTTTTGACATGGCCAGCCTTTGATTATGTGACTTTAAGGAAGGAGCAGACAATTCTCATTTTGAGTGGACACAGACTTGGTTGGACCAGGCCAGACTGCAAATTATTAGAAAGTAATAGAATCTGAGTTGCCTAAGTCTTATTTTAATATTCTGGACTTTCAGTTTCCTTTTCACAGAGAAGATTTTACAAAAGGAGTTCTCCAGGAAAGCAGGGAGCCTTAGGGCTGTGGATACAAATATTTAAATCCTTTCAGCCAACAAATAGTATGTGGAATAGGGTTGGGGAAAGACACATATGCCTTCTCTATCAAACTGAGAGGAAGAAATATACACCCTCTAACTTCACATTCTAAAAACTTAGATTTCCTGTTTGTTAGGCTGTCCCTTCTTCTTCTTCTTCTTTTTTTTTTTTAAGACAGGATCTTGCTATGTTGCTTAGGCTGGTCTTGAACTCCCAGGCTCAAGCAATCCTCTCACCTCAGCCTCCCGAGTAGCTGGAATTACAGGTGTGCACCATTGTGCTGGTAAGGCTGTCCCTTCCAACTTAATACATTCTTCCCCAACCCTCTCCCACCCTCCCCACCCCCCAACCCCCGGTTTATAGTACATCACTGATGGCTGGAAACGAGTTTTAGTTCCAAGATAGCATAAACCGTGTTCTGGCTCATTTGCCTATAAAACATTTTATGGTACATTTTCCCAAAATGGAAGTTGTGCAAGAGGAAATGTATTAAAAGTGTGCTCTGCCTGTTTTACTCTACTCCATCAGCGAGTTGTAGGGGTCTGTAGAGGAAGCCTGTTCATGAGCTAAAACCAAAAGTATGTTCAGGTGCAGAGAGGCTTGATGATGCTGGAAGAACCCAAAGCAGAGGGAGTGGGGGCTACAGACCTACCAGGGGTGTATGTGTAGGCAGTTCTCGTTTAGGTATCAGTTGAAGGGAGGTGGCTGTGAATCTATCTGTAGGGCCATGAGAAGCCACCCAAGTCCAGTGGTTCTTATGCTTTTTACTCTTCAGATCACTTCAAGCAAAGACTTTTGTCATAAAACCAAAACACTCCAGTGGGAAATGGCACTGGAGATATCATTTCCTAAGTAGTGGAACCTCTGAGAATTTGGAAGTAAGTGACATAACCTGATTGGTATTTAGGAAGATGATCTGGCAGCAGGATAGGGAAGCGTAGGGCAGGCAGAACTGAGAACCGGAAGACTAGGTAAGTAGGTTGCACAGTGGGCCAGGCCCCAGTGTCATCTCTTATCCTCGTGGAATTTGGCAGACCGTTACCAATTCCGTAGCCACAGAGTGATGGTTATATAATCAGATGAGATGATGTTATAGGGATATATTTTGTAAATTATAAATATGCTGTTTATTACTGTGGTGGTGGTACCATTCTGTTTCTTTCATAGGAACTGTTTTCTGATCTTTCACTTCAAGCTTTAGTAAGAACACTGGACTAGAAGCTGGGCTACCTAGGTTATAGTTTGGGCTCTAATACTATGTAATCTTGCGAAAATCACTTAAACTTCTTGGTTTTCCTCAGAAAAATGAGGTCCAATTCATCTCTATAATTATTTCACATTTATAGCTTTTCAGTTTCTAGTAGTATTTATTTTGGGGGGAGGGACAAGGATAATAAATGGATATAAGCAAAATGATCATTTTCTTTTCTATTTTAGAGTCTAGGAAGTCTATGACCAAAAATGATCATTATATGATCCCAGTTATGAACAGCAGTCAGCTATGTGAATCCCACTGGTATCCTTTTATCTGTGTCTTGGTAACTTTAAGGGGAAAAAAGTGAGACAGATTATAAGTTAAAAAAGAAAGAGCCCACTCTTCCATGATATTTAAATATTTATTTAAGTTTAAAAATAATCTTCATGGCACCAATGATTTTATGCTAACTACATACTGCATATGTAGAAAAGAGTACATTGCTTTGAAGGAAAATGTAACTTAGAGTTTTTGGCACACGAAAGGTTAACAACTATATATTTTTAAATGAAACTAAGAAATTCACATTTGCAGGTAGTTTACCCTCTACTGCTTAAAAGATGCAGCACAACTATTCTTTAGTAAGAATTTTATTTCCTCTGGTAGATGAAGCTATGGAAACCATTGGTTTTTCTACAATGAACTAAAACTAATTTTGAGAGAAAATGAGAGACATAGTAGAACACAGTAAAACCAGGTTAAAAACTTGAACAAATTTTAATGATGGGGAGATGCTAAAAAGACCAGTCACCAACAAAGGAGGTTTGTTATTCAAGCACTATTTGAAAAGCCAGATGGAAGGAAACTTTCCTATCCATATTCTCTGGGACAAGCCCTGGAAAAAAACAACCCGAAAGTTTCTGTTCAGAGAGCAAAATTCAGCTGTTGGAAATGGTATGGACTATTGTACTGTTAGAACTCTAGACACAAGTAACATACCAGAAATGGAATACTGCATTTGTCTTTAATGTGAATATGAAAGGTCAGAGTCGAGGCTATCACTCACTGCATAGAAACACCATTATTCTACAGACTGAGGTAGGAGCACTACACTAAAAGGTAATCTGCTATGTTGCATAAGACAGTAAATATCCAGGTTAATACCAGCCCCCTGTCTCCTGACAGCCTACTTTTCATTTTAGTGGGTCTACTTTTCATTTTAGTCCTGTGCTAAATAAAGCCTTTGCTATATAGATGACAAGTGGCAGTGGCTAGTTGGTTTCAAGTGATCACTAATCTTTACTAGGATATCCTTCAGTTTGTTTTGTCACTTGGTAAATAGATATTTGTAATTCTGCCCAAATTCTTGCTGGTTTGGAAATGGTCAGAGAGGCCCTCTTCCATTCTTAGATTCCAGCTGCGTTTTAGCATTCCAGTGTTTGATCTTGTTCATCTTGGCATCAGACATCTCTTTGCTGGTTGGTTATTCGAGCACCCTTTAAGCAAGCAATCCCAGTGCCTCCTCTGGGAAATGGTCCCAGATCTTTGACACACGTTAGGATGGGAGCACAGCTGACTCTCTTCTGCTAACATACTGGTAAGGATCAGTTTTATTATCTAGATCAGGGTTGGCGTATTTATGGCCTGTGGGCCAAATTCAGCTCACTGTCTATTTTTACAAAGTATTATTGGAACACAGCCATGCTACTTCATTTATGTATTATCTGGCTGTTTTTGTGCTATGATGGCAGAGTTGAGTAGTTGTGACTGAATATGGCCCACAAAACCAAATTATTTACTGTCTGGCACTTTACAGGAGTTTGCCAACCTCTGGTCTAGATGACAGGGTGTCCTTCTTTAAAATTTGCAACCCCTCCCCTCCAAACAAAACACCCAATTATTTCACAGCTGTTATATTCCAAACATGGACATGGCTCTACCATCTCGGGAGATGAAATAGGGGAGATCAAATCTACAAATGACTTATTCTGTTCTGCTTATGGGCTGTCCAACATCATAGGGTGTCACAGGGTGTCAGCAGCTGCTTCACTATTGTGTAGGTTCCAGGAATATGTCCATTGATCATCCTTAAATAAACCTTCAGGCCCCAGATGACTTAGAAATCTCTCCCTGAGATGAAAACAAGATCTTGTGTGTCATTGGTTTTAAAAGTTGAAGAGCTCAGGCCCAGGAGCACACTCACCCTTCATGTGCCTGTGCTTCTGCGTGCTTCCAGGGCTTCCCTCAGCAAGGATGGCAGATGCTTTTCTAGAACTTATTTTCCTGATGCAGAGGATGACCTTAGGGGGCAGCATTTCTACATCTAAGTGTTGGTCTCTGCCACATTCACCTTCTGTCTTTTGTAGGCATCTCTTAGAAATCCTATTTAAAGAGATTCTTTTCCTGGTCCCTTCTAAGGCTGCTTTGTTGATCTTGGAATTCTATTTTCTGAAGCTTTTCGTTCTCAGGATCAGTTTCTTTCTTGCATCGTTTAGTTCATCAGGTTCTATTTTCTTAATCCGTAAAGTAAAAAATAAAATATGAATTGATAAGAAAATAACATTTTGTTGTTAAAATATAAATTGAAATAGTCTGGGGGGAGGTTGTGTACAAAATAAGCACTGCTCTCTGAATCTCAACAGTCTCTCAGGTAACTTAGCTCTGGTTTCTGTTAGCTATACTTTGTCCAACACTTCTGACAATACTGTCTCTCTGGCACCACTGAATTCACTTAACGTCCCTGGAGCACTATAAAAAGTCTTGAGGTTCTTCAGGAAAAAAATCACAGAAGTCTAAGTTCATTATACAAAACTAAGGTGATGCCCACTAGGCTCTAGTCTAAGGGGACAGACTTACCCCACCCCTGCTGCTGCTGCTGCTGTAGCGGTGGTCCCTTCAGATGCCCACTCTGCTCAGATTTGAAAAAACAAAAGGAAAAGAAAATCCAACTCAGACCATCATAAGAAGCAACTTTCCATTTAATCATTCTACATGGATGTTTACTTTTTTAAAAGTCTGTCTGGCAAGAAAACCTAAACAGTCCCCATTGTCCAGACCCCTGGCCTGCCCCGCCGAGGCTGCAGTGATGACTCTACTGGAAGCCAGCAGCACCAGTAGGAAAGCTCCTGCAGAATACAGAGGACAGCGGCTTGCTAGTCTTCAACTAGTGTCCCATCAGCTAGGTGACACTACTACAATAATCAGTAATAGTAAAATAAATTATTTTATTTGATACTTTCAAAATAATACACATCTATCAAAAATCAAAATTCAAAACCAAAAATTATCCTGCAAATCAGAAGGATGAGAAACAAGAGTCGCTGAGCCTTTCTTGAAAGAACCTCTGAAGAAAATGAGTTTTCCCAGTTTGTTTAGACAGGGCATGAGCCTATCCCTTTCTTCTTCTGGGAAACAACCCTCCTAGGCTGCAGTGTAATTTTTGTCATGAGAGGAGGACTTGGTATATGTGCCGATGGTTCCGCGATGGGTCCCATTGCTGGGAATGGGTAGCCGGGCTCCTTGGTCCACCTGGCTAGTTATTGGGAGGAGTCATGCCTTCTCAGGTGTCAATGAGCAGGCTCACCACTGAGCGGATTTTGCAGGCAAACCATCGCCTGAGGGGACAAAAGTATTGATAGTGGAATTGTTCAAACTCGGGGGTCTGGCGGATATCTCGGAAAAAGGCAATGTCAAGGTCAGACTCGGTAAGGATGATCAGGAGAAGGAGCAAAACAAAGAGGAGTCCCATGGTCACAAGGAGCAAACGGAGGACACTTAAAACAAACTTATTCACCTGTTCCTCCTCTGGCCTGCCGTGCCCCTGACACAGGGCCCTCAGCTCTCCCCCAAGGGCCTCCACTTCTGCAGCATTTGGGGTGCTGGCGTCAGACTCCTTCTCCTCCTCGATGCTGCAGGTGGCTCCGTTGATCTGCCGGGAAAGTAGCATCAGCTCCAGGCTGTGCTCGGCCACGGGGGTGGGCAGCATGCTGTCCGCAGGGCTGTAGGCCTCATCCGCAATCACAGCTACTCGCTCATTGCTGTCTGCCCGACTGCTCCTCACATGAGGCAGGAAGGTGTCCCCGTGGGAAGAGGAACGTACCGGGGTGGAATGGGCACTGTCCCGTAGAGACTCGAGGCCTGGAAGAGCAAAAGGGACATAAGTAGGTTTTTTGTGTCCCAACACACCCTCTGCTCTTCAGTAACATGCATTCTGCTTTGTCAGGTGTCCCTCTGCACACTCCTGTGACCAACTTTGGCTGCAGTACTGTTTTCTGTTTGTTTTTTAGAGATAGGATATCACTCTGTTGCCCAGGCAGGAGTGCAATGATGCAGTCATAGCTCACTGTAACCTCAAACTCCTGGTTTCAAGCTATCCAGGTATGTGCCACTATGCCCGGCCAATTTTTTTTTTTTTTTTTTTTTAGGAGACAGAGTCTTACTATGTTGCCCAGGCTGGTCTCAAACTTCTGGGCTCAAGTGATCCTCCTGCCTTGGCCTCCCAAAGTGTTCAGATTACAGGTGTGAGCCACTGTCCCTGGCCCGGCCCTGTACTCTATTTTGACATCAAGAACAGGATAAGGGGCCGGGCGCGGTGGCTCACGCCTGTAATCCTAGCACTCTGGGAGGCCGAGGTGGGCAGATTGCTCCAGGTCAGGAGTTCGAAACTAGCCTGAGCAAGAGTGAGACCCCCGTCTCTACTATAAACAGAAAGAAATGAATTGGCCAACTAATATATAGAGAAAAAATTAGCCGGGCATGGTGGCGCATGCCTGTAGTCCCAGCTGCTCGGGAGGCTGAGACAGGATCGCTTGAGCCCAGGAGTTTGAGGTTGCTGTGAGCTAGGCTGATGCCACGGCACTCACTCTAGCCTGGGCAACGAAGCAAGACTCTGTCTTAAAAAGAAAAAAAAAAAAAGAACAGGATAAGAGAAACAGCAGAAATCAGAACAGTCATTTTAGAAGATTTCTTTTTTTGCTTATGGTTTTGGCCTAATTTGTTACAGATTCTACCTTTCCTGCCTTTGGTGTGCTGGGGCTAGTTTTAGCCCAATTTGAAAGAGAATCTGAATTGCAGACTGTCCCTGATGTAGAGGTGGGATCGTGGTTCAGGTCTCAAGTCTGCCTTTTGGGTGGAGGGCCTTGAGAGGTAGGAATTGGGAGAAGGAAAATGTGTTTTGCCCAACTGGGCTTCATCAGATACTATTTTCAAATACTGAGTGACCTCCTAACAGCCCAGCACTTGGTGTCTTGAGTTCATGAGGTGAAATCTTTTGTACTTCTGCAGTTGCTATCAGTGTCTTCAGCCTCCCTGTTCTAGCTGTTCTGTCTTTGTGCGATGGTAGAAACTCTCTGCTCTTCTCAAGAGCTTCCTGAGGGAGCAGGGGAGCAGTGCCCGGCCAGCTCCCTCTTTTTTCACCTGAGAAGGAGCTGGGTCTAGAATCCGCTGAAAGCTCCCACATCTTTAGACACTCGAGCGCAAAGCAGTCTCTTGAGAAGATCTGGTTGGGTCAGGGGAGAAACTCTCTCACATTTGTTAGAAGCAAAAGGGCATTCCCTAAAACTATCCAATTCTCTCTTTTCTTTCTCAGAATGAAAGTGTTTCTTTACAAAGCTCTCACTGGGCTCAAGCTCTGGCAGGGAAAAACAGGAGCTGGTCACACCCTCAACCAAACAGCAGCTGTCAGGATCAGAGTGTGACCCACATCACAGTGCTCCCAAGGAAATAGCTTCTTGTTTCAGGTGAAATACCTACATTTTCCACTGCTGGCTCTGCCTTTGTGACCTATGACAAGAAAAGCCAGGCCCATGCTGTTGCTCTGAAATAGACGGTGATGGTCCCAGTCTGTTCGTCCGGATCCTTGACTGTGGCCTTTTGATGTGGTCCAAATTTTACAGAATTAATCCTTTTAATTAAAGTGATTTGTTCTGTGAAGTTTGGATTCAGTCAAAGGGCTGCACTTAGGGATTTGGAGGGCCACATGTGACCTTGAGGCTGCACGTTCCCCTCCCCTCCCCCATGAGGGCTAGTTCCAGAAGCCTAAAGATCTCTTCTAAAAATGTGCCAGTGGCCGGGCGTGGTGGTTCACGCCTGCCTGTAATCCTAGCACTCTGGGAGGCCGAGGCCGGCGGATTGCTCGAGGTCAGGAGTTCGAAACCAGCCTGAGCAAGAGTGATACCCCGTCTCTACTATCAATAGAAAGAAATTAATTGGCCAACTAATATATATAGAAAAAATTAGCTGGGCATGGTGGCACATGCGTGTAGTCCCAGCTACTCGGGAGGCTGAGGCAGGAGGATTGCTTGAGCCCAGGAGTTGGAGGTTGCTGTGAGCTAGGCTGATGCCACGGCACTCACTCTAGCCTGGGCAACAAAGTGAGACTCTGCCTCAAAAAAAAAAAAAAAAAAAAAGAAATGTTCCAGTAACCTTTCAGAAGTTGCTTCCTCCTTGGCTTATTTGTGGCTTGGCCATTTGCACCCAGCCAACTGGCCCCTGCAGCCTGGTGGAGCCTGACTCAGCACAGGCACAGTTAAGGATTCTCCAGAGGAACAGACCCTGGAATCTGGGTTCTGAATGAGAGGACGGGCGGGGCTGGGTGATGGCCGGGCACCTTCTACTTGTCCTCCCCATCACCTCGCCTTTGGTGCATTCGCCACAGCTCTCAACTTCTGCTTTCAGAAGCTCCTCCTATCTGTATTTTGTTTGTCCGTAGGCTAAAATCTTAAATTTGGTTAATGTTTTAAATTTTTTTAAAGCACTTTCATATTATCTTTCAATAACTCCATGAAGTAGTAAGGGCTAGAGGTTACAGAACTTGCCTGAAGTCATGTGGTTGGTTGTTAAAGGCAAAGCCAAGGATGGAATCCAGTCTAGTTCAAGGTGCTGCTGATCATATATAGAAAGTCCTCACTTAAGGTTCTCAAAAGGTTCTTGGAAACTGTGACCTTAAATGAAACAATGTATAGCAGGTCCTCAAATAACATTGATTTCTTCAATGTCATTTCTTTATAATGTTGATGAGGGAAAAAAAGGAGTTTCATTATGTTGCTTTGCTTAAAGTTGCAGTTTCTAAGAACCTATCAACGATGTTAAGTGAGAACTTAATTGTAGCTGAGTTCCACGGAATGGAATCATGGCCAGGATGGATTAAGTCAACAGCCTGCACCTGCCTTAGATTTAGGTCTCAATTGCCCAAGAAACTGTTGTGAAAGAATGTGAAATTAAGAGGTCCTGTCCCTTGTTCCAGAGCTCTTGAAGTTTCTTTAACCTTGCTATTACTCAGTATTCCTCCCTGACGCTCCCATTTGCACATAAGTACCTCAGAGTATGTTATAGGTCACCGGTAAAACAGAACCTTTAAGGCCCTGGTTGCATGTTGCTGGCTTGGCTCCTTTCCCACGCACACCTCTGCCCTCTTTCTCTGGAACCTCAGCCCACTGCATAGGCCACCTGATACCCTTCCAAAGGCCTGCCCCTTCACACAGACGGCTCTGACTGCCAGATCTTCCAAAGTGTGACCAGCTTAGCTGCCAGTGCAAGCTTAGCTTAGCCTACAATTCAGCCCTCAGCTTGCAGGGGAAGAAGAGAGGCAGACACTGTGACATGAGAAAACAAGGCAAGGGTCACCAAAAGCCAGACCATATTGGGAATTGTTGGTGCTCTCAGTAAACAAGACAATGGACAGGTATGCATTTCTAGCAGAATGCCTGGCAAATACAATTACTCAGTAAATGTTAGTCCGACTGCTCTCTCAACAGAAAACCTCACATGTAAGGTTAGCATTCCCTGTCAGGTTAGTCCTGTACAAGAAATTAAGTTTTCACTATGGAGGAACCACACCAGCCCTGCTCCTTCCTCAAGCTGTTTTTCTGGGCTGGCTGGGGTGAGTGTGGTGGGAAGGATCTAGGCTAAGTGGCACAGCAAAACAAAGCAGAGTCTTTTTTACCTTGGAGGTGCTCCAGCTGACTCCTGTGCCCAGGTGTGGCTCCCAAAGGGCAGAGGGGCACAGTGGTCAGGACCCTACCCTGGAGCCGGGGCCCCATCCTCAGGATGCGCACACGTAGGTGCCGAGAGCAGTGATTAGTCAAGCGGAGCTGGACATGGACTCTGGTGTGAATCTTAATCAGACTCTTCCCCATGGTGGCCCAGGCAGGCAGACACTTCTTCAGTGGAAACCAGCAGATCTCTTCAGAGAAACCAGCCAGGCAGGGGAGATGTGGAGAGGGGAAGGGTGGAAAGCCTACTAGGGGCGAAGGATGTCCGCTGATCCCACACCATGGCAGCCCCTCAGCAGTGCCTCCTGCGCTGGAGAGAGAAGGCTGAACTCGAGGAAGGAGCAGCTCTGAGAGGCCGTGTTATCAGTGCACTGGATTCAGCCAGAAGCACTTAGAGCCATAAAAAGTAATGGTTCTCTAGCCTGCTGCCCTCTCCCTGAGGCCCGGATAAGGGCCCCAACCTCTCAGAGAGTGAGGGACAGAGAGGTCAGCAAAAGATTCCAGAGGGTAGGGAGAATCAAGACTGTCCCAGAAAACCCAGGTTGCAAAGTTACAAAGACATTGGGCTCTCTCTAGGCCACACCTGGTACAGGCCTGGCCTGATGCCAACAAGTCGCACAGTCTACACTAGCTTTGGGCTGGGTGGCTCTGCAGTGCAAGGAGGTGGTTTCTGTGACACTAACTTAAGGGCTATGTGGACTGTGGGAAAGACAATCTTTGATGGAGCATGAACCAATTTCAAATGTCCATAAACTCCTTGGGACTCTGGTTGGTTGTGCCTTTCTTCTAGGGCACTTATGACATCCCCCTGTTGGGTGGACAGTTCACCCAACTGTGTTTCAGCTGTTTTTGTTAGGACTTTTTTTCTTTTTTGAGACTGAGTCTCACTCTGTTGCCTGGGCTAGAGTGCCATGGTATCAGCCTAGCTCACAGCAACCTCAAACTCCTGGGCTCAAGCAATCCTGCTTCAGCCTCCCGAGTAGCTGGGACTACAGGCATATGCCACCATGCCCGGCTAATTTTTTGTATATATTTTTAGTTGTCCAGCTGATTTTTCTATTTTTAGTAGAGACAGGGGTCTCACTCTTGCTCAGGCTGGTCTTAAACTCCTGACCTTGAGCAATCCTCCTGCCTCGGCCTCCCAGAGTGGTAGGATTACAGGCGTGAGCCACTGCACCTGGCCTGTTAGGACTTTTAAAGGCAAAACCTTTCCTTGAAAGATGATGCACCTGAACTCTTGCCTCCTGGAGAAATTGATCAATTCTTTATTTACACAGGCTTGGTACCCCCTGCCCTGATACTTAGCAGTTAAAATCTTTTCTTGTTTCCACATCCAAACCAGATGTCCATCTCCCGTGCCTCACCCTGAGCCTGTAAGGTTCATTCCTGCTAGATCAGTTCTTAGCTGCTTCTGCCTGCCTCCTCCTGAATCTGATGGGTCCTGGGCTGGGGGCCATACGCTGTGCTTGTCTGCTGGCAGCCGTGGGCACAGGTGTCAGGAGCAGGGTGGCTGGGTGAGCACATGGAGCCTGCTGAGCCATAACCTGCCAAGTGTGAAATTCCAGGAGGCTGAGGTTTTGACGTGCCCTTTCCCCACTGCATCCTCCCCTGGTGTCTGCAGCAGGGCGAGTAGTTTGCACGAGGAACCTGCTGCTGCAGTGGGAGAAGCTGGCTCTGGGAGGAGGCTGGAGGTAAGGCCAGAGCTGGGTTGGGACTGAGGCAGGCTCAGCATGTCTCGGTGGAACACGAGGATTGTGTTCCCCACCTCTGAGTCATTCTGGTCACCCTACTTGGCAGTGACTCCAAATGAGTTATATCCCCACACAGTGTCAGCCTCCCCTCTCCTGGAGATGCTGGTTTTGCTGGACATTCTTACATATTCTGGGAATGAGACATGCATGAGGCTTCACTCCTATTTTATGCCCTGCATAAAGGAGCTTTTTCTTTGGGAGGACAGCTGTCCCCACTTTCTGTAGAAGCCTTAGGGTGAACCCAATGGCATCAGCCTCAGGATGGATGGGAAGAAGGGCCACAGAGAGGGGAGAAAGTTGTTTCCTCAAAGGAGGAGAATAAATTCATTCTACTTTCCTGAGATGTATACCCCAAAAGAAGAGGGACAGCGAAAGCCAAGCTCAGTTCTTTAGCTAAGCCTAAGATGGGAGGAAAACCAAGAGGCTGCATCTGATGATGCTTTAGCTCTCTGTAATTCCATGCTTCGCAGAGCAATTATGCCTCAGAGTTCACAACGTGGTCTCTCACACCCAGCTCCATTCTGCAGTGGGGCAGGAGGCTCAGTGAGGTTAAGCCACCTGCCCCAGAAAGTGCATGGCAGGACTCCTATTTGAATCTTGTCTTTGACTTCCTGACCAGGGCTCTTGGCACTGTGTTTGCTGCCTGCCTAGTGAATACTTCAGTCTCTTTAAAGTATTTCTGCACGTGTTAGCTTCCTTCCAATCAATGGGGTGGGTACGGAAAATGCACAACTAAGATACTCAGATAATTAAGAAACTTGATGGTGGTTGCCTAGCCAGGGTTCTCAACCCCTAGACTGTCTGGAGTTATATACTAGACTCAGGTAATGTGGAGTCTCACACTCATAGTGACACATCCTAAAACCCTAAACAAAAACCAGAGATCCTCCCAGGGGAAAAGCAGAGCAACGTCCTTCGTAACCTGAGCAATTCTTCATTTTCATTAACAAGCAGCATGCCCATAGAAATGGCAAAGGGCCTTCCCTTCTCAGCTTCCACCCCATTAATCCCAGGAGACAGGTCTGAAGAAACCCTGCTGCTGTCTCCTGCTGTTTGAGGTCTTCTGAGGTGTTAGAAAATCATCATCTTCACGAATGAAACCACTCAACTTTACACCTGTAAAGTTGGGTGAGTGACAGCAGCTAGAAGGCAATATTCTGAGAGCACCTCCTAACAGTGCTAACTACCCAGAGAATACAGGGAGCCTGCTACTGGGTTATTTAGTTCAGTGAAGATACACAGAATTTCTGTCTTCTCACTTTTGCCTCCCCCAAAGGGAGGGAAGGATGGAGAGAGATGGATCATACTGGATTTCCTAAGACAGTGGTAAGGTATTCAGGACAGACAGCAACAGGACAGATTTCTACAACTGAAGTGGTAGGTGGCGACAGCTATTGGAATGCTTCAGTACCAGGAATTTTTGTTTCTGTCTCAGCCATCCTGATCATTTAAGCTGTGAAGATTGGTCAGCTCTAGAAAGCAAGTGAAAAGCCTCTTGCTGAAAAGCAATTTCAGAACTTTGTGAAACCTGGTGGATCCAAAGGGCTAACCCAGGACTCCGTGCTGGACCACAGAGCAGCAGGCCTGGGTGGGATGCCCCTCGCCTCACACCCAGCTCGTCTTCCCATCCACTGGGTAAACCACCTACCTGCTGCTGGAGGCCCTTCCCCCGAAAAACTTGCTGCTGTCCCTAATGCAAATTAGTATCTTTTCAAGATCCCTGAGAAAGAACTTGGCCAAGTCACAACTTGGAGCAACCCAGTGGTCATCTCCAGAAGCTCATGCTCACCTTCCATGATGGAGATGTGAACAGCTCTTCTGCGGGTCCTGGGGACACTGCTTAGCCTTGGGCCATGGGTTATGGAGGGACAACTCCGGCTGGGAACCATCCCTGCTCTGAGGTTAAAGAAAAAGAGAACTTTGTTGACTCAGTGCACAAATTTAGCAGGTACTCAACCTGGCAATTCTAGCAGCCAGTATTCAACTCTGTTGTAAGTTTTGGTCTTTTTTTTTTTTTTTTCTTTAACATTTTCTCTTTGCCTTTGGTCCCTGGATCCCAGTCAGAGACACTGCTTCAAACTCGTCCACCTCCTAATATCCTAGACCCACCTGAACCTTTCTTTAGTGCACAACAGTGCCACTGGTTGGAGTCTGGGAGCAGGACTATCGGGGAGTAGAGCCCCAGGATGAGCAGTACTGAAAATGTTCCTGGGGACCAAGACAAGCAGTAATGCTCCCACTCCCAGAGGCAAAGGCTGGTTGGCTAATCAGCCTTCTTGGCTGATCATATTCTTTCTGGGTCTTATCAGGTTCTAGGAGATAGCCTTCTGGAAATGTGTGATGTATGGATATACATGAAGCATGGATCCTGAATCTATTTTAGACCCAGTGTGGGGCTGTGAGGCTATTCCTGGCTTCCTATAATGGACGGATTCCAGAACCAATGAAATATTGCTGCTTAGACACATCCTCCATAGTCTGTGATCAACATCAAGAGTCCAGAGGGCAGAAAAGAACTGCTGTCTGGTAGCAGCCCTCCCTCATTCTCCATCAAGGGTCAAAGACTTCTCCCCATACCTTCAGCTGAGACAGGTTTGTTCACTGTCATGCCCTAGTCTCCTGCACATTTTGGTAGCTGTTGTGGCCAGGAGCTTCACAGTATTCAAACTGCTGGGTCTTTTGAGATTCTGGGATCTGAGCTGGACCTGGTTTGGGAGGAAGCCCCTGGCAGCCTACCTGTGTATTTCTGGTGGCTCCCGCTTGATCTTGGCACTTGACTCCATTACTTCCTTTGCAACTCGGCCGCTGTAAGTAGTATAACAAAAACAAGCAGCAAGAAATGAGACAGTGTTCCAGGAGTGGGCTCCTCTCCAAGATCTCAGATGTTTTGGCTGAATCAGGAAATGGATCTTTGGCCCACCCCTTCCCCAATGTTTTGGTCACTGAGCAAGCTTTGCTTGCTGGGGTAAAGAGTTCTAAAATGTTGTGACAGTCTATCTTAGCTCTCTATCCTTTGGGATCTTCCATTCTTATTTAGGAATGATTCCTTATTGTTTGGCATATTCCAGTGGTAACATCATGGGAGAAAAAAAACACAAAACACCTTTAGACAATGAGACTGAAAAGAATCACTGTTACAGTTCTTATTTTGCTACTCTTGTAAGGGAAGGAGAAGATACACATTTAAAACCCTAGGACAGGCTGGATGCAGTGGGTCATGCCTGTAATCCTAACACTTTGGGAGGCCACGGTGGGAAGATTGCTTGAGTCCAGGAGTTTAAGACCAGCCTGAACAAGACCCCAACTCTATAAAAAATAGAAAAACGAGCCGGGCGTGGTGGCGCGCACCTGTAGTCCCAGCTACTCAGGAGGCTGAGGCAGGAGGATCACTTGAGCCCAGGAGTTTGAGGTTGCAGTGAGCTGTGATGATGCCACTGCACTCTAGCCTGGGTGACAGAGCGAAACCCTGTCTCAAACACAACAAACAAACAAACAAACAAAAGGCCTACAGACAACCAGCTGTAGGGAAGGAAAGAAATAGTAAAGGGGTTACAAGACTAGAGAATTGGATGGAAACCTCAGGCTTTTCTGAGAGTTCCCCAGTTTCTTAGTTCTCAAGGATAAGGACCTCTGAGTGACTTGTTTTCCAGAGAAGGGTCTGAAAATAGATCCATAATGGTTACTTACTGTCACTATTTACCTGTATCGGAACCGGCTCCCTTTAAAGAATAAATTGCTGCTGGACACTGTGCGGACTTGGCTTGACTTCTCCAGCCTGCAGCAAGGCAAAGTCCAGTGTGACAGATGGCCTGAAACTGCTTCGCACAGGCTAAAGCAGCACGGCCCAGCTCCTTCCAAAGGCTACTTGAGGAAACCATTCAGGAAGAAGCATTTCATAGCCCACCCTTGTTTCTGACTCTCATTCAGAATCTGAGGGCTGTGTTCACAGCCAACTGCCCTCCTGCTTTAGTGCCCAGGACAGTCATGTGGAAACCTATTATAATGTCAGGAGACAGAAGGGTCCCCCAGTAGGCTTCATGTGGTTCACCAGGGGACTGAACGTGTTAGGGATGATGGTCTGGGGGAATGACAGAATGCCATCCATCTAATCTCACCCATCTAATCTCACTGACTTACTAGCAGTGTGACCTTGGGCAAATTTCTTTCCCTTTCTAAGCCTCAGTTTTCTTATCTACAAAATGATAGAGCTGGGCCTACTGGACCTCAGGGGTCCCTTCTAGTCCTAGTATTTGGTCTTTGTGTCTATGTCTAGGTAATTGTACCCTTCCTGTTCCATCTCCCTCTTGGATAGTCCTAAAATACATTATCATAGTTAAGATTGAGAAGTCCTGCAATGAAGAAACTAGCTTAGGCCGGGTGTGGTGGCTCACGCCTGCAATCCTAGCACTCTGGGAGGCCGAGGCCGGCGGATTGCTCGAGGTCAGGAGTTTGAAACCAGCCTGAGCAAAAGAGCGAGACCCCGTCTCTACTATAAATAGAAAGAAATTAATTGGCCAACTAATATATACAAAAAATTAGCCGGGCATGGTGGCACATGCCTGTAGTCCTAGCTACCTGGGAGGCTGAGGCAGCAGGATTGCTTGAGCCCAGGAGTTGGAGGTTGCTGTGAGCTAGGCTGATGCCACGGTACTCAGTCTAGCCTGGACAATAAAGTGAGACTCTGTCTCAAAAAAAAAGAAAAGAAACTAGCTTAACATTAAAAGGTCCATCATGTATTTGAACTTGAGCTTTCCTCCCTCCCCGAGAATGCCTACATAACATCACTTTCAAGGCTAGAGATAGCTGTCATGGAGACTTTGGAAGGCCTTGGGAACTGTAAAACATGCTCCTGGTGACTTCACCAATCCCATTAACTGTCTCACATTTGGAAATGGAAGCTTGGACAGAGCTGCCCAGAGACAAGTCTCCCTAAACCTGGCTCACCTGTAACATGCCCAGGTACCTACAGTACTAACCCAGTCCGGAACCTATCTGGGTCCTTTCCTATGAGTACACAGAGAGTAGGAGCTGTCCCCAAAATGCATGAACAGTTCCTGGGAGACACCATCCCCGCCTGTCTCGGTGCTCTGTGAGGTCTGAACCTGCCTTCCCTCTAGCCTGAGCATGTTCTCAAGCCTGACCCAGCTCCTGTCTGGGCACTGCCAAGGCAGGACTAGGGATCTGTGCGTGAGAGATGCTGAGAGCAAGGCCAGAGTGGCTCCTGCCAGAGATTTGGCATTAACTGGGGATCTGACCCAGGCTAGAGGCTTTTAACAATTAGAACATAAAGGATGCAACAGAAAACTGAAAAATGATCTGTTTCCAGTGTGGGTGCTGGCAGGGCTGGGTGGGTGTGGAGATCTACTACTGGAAAGACCTGGAAACAGTCTGGTCACAGGTTCCGAGCATTCTGTCCCCATGACACAGATGGAAAAAGAAAGCCCTTAAAAATGGCACTGGAAGCATGAAAAGACAAGAGACAAGGAGATTACTTGCATTTGTCTTAGACCCTTTGGCAAAGAGAATGCTTCCAAATACACCACTCCAGGGCAATGTATTTGGACAGCTGAGTGTGGAGCAGGCCTCTGTCTTCTAGTGCCTTCCTCTCTCTGTTGGGGAGATGCATGGGACCCCATCTTTACTGGACTGCTCCTCTGTCCCACAAGCAGGAGTTTGCGTCTCAAGCTGCTGCTCTCCAGGTTCATGTAACTGGCCAAACCTGGGCTCTGTCCTCACAGGCAAAGGGAAGGTGGTAATAAAAGAAAGGTTTCCCTGACTTTCCCTGGACAGCAGGGACTGAACAGGAGGGACGTTTGATGATTTAACCATGCCAAAGTTTCTCTTCTTCAGGAGAAGAAAGGAGCCCACTCAGGTTAGAATTCTGCCTGCCCATCCAGTTCATCCCTGATTCTGGTATAAATGCATAGTGAATATTAAGCAATTCAGAGCTTGTGGGAGAAACATCTGCTGTGGCCATGGCTGTGCCCATGGCTATGGCCGTGGCCGTGGCCTTGGTGACTGGGAGGAGACCGGTTCTGGGCAGCCAGCAGGTGGCAGAGTCTGTTCAGCCAGGAGGAGGGTAGCACCACAGCTCAGAGCAATTCTGATCTCTAGAATCCTTCGGGTTACTGGAGGGGGACCTGGCCTGTCAGGGGCATCTGGTGACAGTAGGGTTCACCTCGGGTTGAATATACCACACGCTATGTCTTGCCTTGCCCTTATTGAGGTACATCATGTTAAAGCATATATCATTACATTCTATTTTTAAAAAAAACCAAGGGGTTTAGTGAAACATTCTTTACGTGGCATCACCCCCGTTTCTTGATGGGTCATTTCTTCGCTTCTTAATGCTTTGTAGAACCACTTTCTTAACAAAAGAAAACTGAACAACAAAAAAAGCCTCACATGCTTTACAAAATCCTTTGGTAAGCAAAGTTCTTTCCTTTGGCTCCAACCTGGCTTCCCAGTAACAGTCAAGCCCTTGCCCACTTCCAGCTTCCCCACCCCCATGCCCCTGGGCACTTGGCCTGTCACTGGCAACCCCTTTGGCAGTGACACACGGAAGGGCTGGCATCAACCCCAGATCACCACCAGCCACTGACCAGGAAGCCGACCCCAGAATCTCTCCAAGGTTTAGGGCTGGTGCCCAGAGGCCAGGGAGAGCTCCTCTGGGTTGAGCCTGGTCCTTTGTGGAGCTGTTGTGCTCTAGGCTTCCCAAGGCTCTGAATGGCTCCCCAAGGACAGCTTGATTCAAGCTAGGTGCCCACTGGCTTTTTCTGGCCCAAATCTTACCCCTAAGAAACCAGAAATGCTCTACTGCTGGGGGTTCTCCAAGGACACCTCAAGGCAGACGTCTTGGACGATTCAGCTGAACCACATTCCCAGACCTTGGCTCTGTACCTCCAGGGGGTACAGACAGAGACCCAGAAAGGGTCTGAGTTTTACTAGGAAGGCCAGCCCTGTCATCTCAGGTCTCCTTTCTCAAAGTTTCTCAAAGCTTGCCTGCCCATCATTCCTCTAAAGTACCCTTTGTGACTTAGGCTCTGATAAAGATGGTCCCTGTTGCACGTGTCCACTCACTTGTAGAAGGCTTGGTTCTCAATTCCACATTTCCAGAGGTGCTTGCAGGCTTCTGGAGTTGGAGCAAAATATGAAAGAATAATTTTCTTTTCCTGCAGAAAATTCCACATAGAAATGTCTGAGTGTGGATAGAGAAGCGAAGGGTTAAGTAGCCCAGGACTCTGGCCCCTGAGCTGTTGGAGGGTCCCTGGCAGCTGGTTAGTTGGGAGAGAAGGCCTGCAGGACCCACTGTGGCAGAGACAGTTCATCTCACACGTGGCAAGTCCAATTAGTAAGTCTCAGCTAGCACAAACTGAACCAGGAGAGCCCTTGGTGAGAAAGTGGCACTCACATCTGGAATTTCCATATAGAAGAAAAAGAATTTTACTTTGACTGCATTTCCTGGAGATAGGGATCTCAGGTGGAAGCTCTGGGTGTCATCAGCATCCCTGAGGAAGTCCTGTGCTCCAGGGCCTTCCTACCCCTTCATACCTCACCTCTAGGTCTTGGCCTTGGTCTTGGCTTAGTATGCAGGTGGCTTAGCTCCACCTGGACCCCTTAGACTTGGCCCTGGCCAGGAACCATCCCATCACCCCAGCCCTTCCTTGAAGAGAAAGAAGCCAGCACTCACCTCTTTCTGACTTACATATAAATAGAAAGTCTTTCCTTCAAATTTCAGCTTGGTCACCTCATTCCTAGAAGGACAAAGAGAGTGCTTGTCACCTCATGTGGGGTGCTTGCTCACAGCCAATTCTTACAGATGCACAGCCCACCCTGACTGGAAGGGGCTCCAGGCACAGACACAAGTTTAGCCAAAATTAGAACTGAAACAAGACAGCAGCGCAGTGGCCTTAGAGAACAGTTGTTGGAACAGTTCAATCCACAGTTTTCTGGTCAATCACACTATAATAATAGGGTGATAGGAGGATTTCGGGCTCATCAACAGTGGCTGTAAAAGGGAAACATTTGCATGGAAAGTGAGTCTAGGTAGAGTGTGGGTCATTTCAGGATTTGGTTCATAACACAGGCGCATTATCTGGATGGGACTATCAAACATAAGATGCCACAGGTAGCTGATGAGGCCAAAGTTCAAGATACAGCAAATAATGAGAAACAATGCAACCAGGTTCTGAGGGAGTTGAGTCTTTCAGGTGACTGTGCCACGGGATGGAAAATGCAGTTTAATGCAGACAAATGTCAGACAATCTCAGGGAGGGGGCGGGGCAACATACCAAAGAGAGAGAACAAATTACATGGAACAGTCATGCAGCGTACTGACCAGGAAAGGGGCTTAGGGGTTATTGTAGAAAAATCCTTGAAGCCACCAGCCCAGTGAATGGCTGCAGTAAAAGAGGCAAACAGGATACTGGGGTATGTCACCCGTGGGACAGACACAAATCAGAAGAAGTGACATGGTTACTGTACATGGCACGGCCTAGACCTCACCTCCATATACTGTTCTCAGCCTTGGTTACATTTGCAAAATGGAAAAATTACCAGGGTCTTAGGTGGGTGTCCCTGAGAGCCAGAGAACTAGGCCTTAGCATCAGTCACTCTCTTTCCTGCTATCTGCCCAACACAGCTGCCCTCTGAAGCCTCAAGGCCTCTGCACGTCACTGGAGGCCTTATTTTTCTACCCAACAGGGACCCCAAGGAGGTCTGATTGTGCATATCTGCCTCCATTTGGCTTCTTTCTCTTTGTAACTTGTAGGGACATTTACTCAATATCCTAGGAAGCAGCAGAAAGGTAGTGAGAACCATGTGCCCAATTTACTGCTGGACAAAATTTAGGAGACAGAGGAAAATCACTTGTTCTCTGTGATCCTGGAAATCACGGCTGGGTCAGGACAAGGGTTCACAACTTCCAGCCACCAGTTCTGAGCTAATACAAGCCTCAGGATATTCCTTTCCTGTCTGATTCCCTCTCACCTTCCCCCGCAACCAATCAGTCAACCTCTCATTCACACACAGAACACAATAAATGTCAATTGGTTAATATAGAGACAAGCACACAGACCATCTAGGCTCCAAGCAAGATAGGAAAGTAAGGAGTTTTCTTTTGAAAGTGAGATTGGGTTTACATCTATTATTACAAAGTCAAGAGCTGGTGAAGAGGAGCCTTCATGAAGAAGTGGCACGTGAGAGAAGCCATAGAAAGAAAAGGGCCTGGGAAAACTGGGGGAGCATCATGGCTTCTGGAGGGGTAGGGACAAGTTAGAGACTGCAGGGTCTAACAGGTACATCCTACTTGTCTGTAGCTAAACCAGCCCCCTAACAGGGGGCTTGTGGGATTGCCACCTTGGTCAGCATGTGGCCCAGGATCTGGGCCCTCTGAGAAATATCACGTAGCCTAGACATGCAGGCAGCCAATGCTCCACACTAGCAGGGCGGTGGCCTGATCCTGCTCATTGTCTTTTTCTGAAAAGTGTTCTGTTAGACAGGAGATCCTCACCCGGACAGCACAATGAAGTGGACCAGCTTGAAGAAGCCTAGGAAGCAGGTGTGTTGGGTACTCCCTGGTAACTGGTAACTCCAGGGCAGCAGGCTGCCTTGTGACATGCTGTTGACCTGGGGAATGGGACTGGCTCTGCGTGTCTGAGGAGCAGTTTCACCAGCACTCTGGTTGACCATCATGTTGCCATCTTTCACAAGAGCAATATGGGTTGAAAAGGTGGTATCTGTCCATAAGCTCAGTGGGAGAGTAAAAGAGGGCACAGGAGGAGGGATGCCCTGCAGCACCCCCAGAAGAAAGCCTACTAGGAAGCAACTCTGCACTCAGACTCCTCAGTAGCTCTTCTGGAGAAGGCAAAAGAAACCTAGACAGGGAGCAGGTCTCCTGTGCTGAGCTCTGCTGGACCAAGGGAAGCCACTTATCTAAGCCCATGGGAGGAACTGGCCAGCTTAGACTTGGCAGTCTGAGGCCCAAGAAGGCACAGAAATCACAGGGGCTTAGTAGGATATGCAAAATGTTCTGATGAGGCTGACAGATGTTTGCATGGGCTGGCCAGCATAAGAGCTTCCAGGATAGCCAAATGTCAACAAACCAGAGTTGGTGCCCAGGGCCATGCAGCAGAACAGACCCCAAAAGCAAAGACTGGGCAGGAGAGGAAGCAGTTTGGCATAGCTGCAGCTGAGGCAGGGGCTCTTGCCTGTTAGAAACAGGAGTGGAGAGGGGAGGGAAGGAAGAAAGAGTGGGGATGTGATTCCTAGAGGCTGAAGACACTTATGCCCTTATGAGGAACAGAAGTGAGACAGCAGCATATGAGCTCTCGCAGACAAAATGCCCACAGTGGGGACTGGTCTAAGGAAGGTGTTTTGCCAGAGTCACAGGTGCCTTATATCTGCTGTAGGGGTCATTGTCTGTGAGCCCCTCCCTTGTTAGCTCAGTGGGTTAAGGCCAGCCGCAGAGGTGTTCCAGAACAACCGGCTCAACAGGGCTAGCTATGGCCTTCTGTGGGTCCTGGACCCAAGGACTCAGCTCTCATGGGAACTTTGCTTCCCTAACATTGGCTCCAGCCCCAGGCCTCTCATGCTCCCCAGAAAATCAAACCTCCATATCCCTTCTCTCTCTGGAGAGGCTGCTGGCTCTCAGGGACACCCTTTTGGAAGAATAGGATCCCCAGGAAGAGACCACTCCCTTTGTCAGTTACCATTATCAACACAAGGCTTTGGAGAGGGCTCTGAACCATAATTGCCCAATCACAGACAAAGGACGTGGGAACCACAGCCCCTCCCCAGTTGGTGAAATATAAGGAGCCAGCTTTGAAAATGAAGACACTCACCATTTAATGAAGTGGACCCTCTTGTTTCCTTGAAGAACAACAAACCCAAAAGGAGTGAAGGCCAGAAATGCAGCATTTCCTGACACATCCTGCAACACAGAAAGACTTCTCACTGGGGGGATGCTGGCAAGGGAGAAAGACTGTTGTTCATAGGTGATGCAGGGTTAATACTTGGCACTGGGTCACAGAGGGAAGAGCATGTCATTTGGAACCACAAGACTACAGTCTGAGTCCCAGCCTTGCCACTTGCCAGTTATGTGATTATAGGCAGGTGACAAACTGAGCCTCAGTGCCCTTATCTGTAAACTAGGTTATAATGATACCAACCTTAGAAGGTTGTTGTGAACATCCAAAGAGAATGGCAAAGCCTCATGCATTGCTGGTGGGACTGTAAAATGGTAGAGTCACTTTGAAAAGGCATTTGGAAGTTCTTCAAATTGTTAAACAGAGTTACCATATGAACCGGCAATTCTACTCCTAGGTCTGTACCTGAGAGAATTAAAAATACATGTCCACACAGAAACTAAGTGCATGAATGTTAACAGTAGCACTATTCCAACAGCTCAGCAGTGGTGGAAACAAGTCAATCCATTCTCCAGTGGAAAACGTCCGTCGATGGATAAATGAATAAACAAGTAGTATATTATGGCACTATGGGATATTACTCAGCTGTAAAAAGGAATGAAACACTGATACCTGCTACAACATCAACGAACATTTAAAACATGCCAAGGGAAAGAAGCCAGTTATAAAAGGTCATATGCTGTGGTCTTTTTGCTCTGTGAATCTACTAAAAACCACCGAATCGCACACTTTAAAAGGTGAGTTTTGTGACAGAATTACATATCAAAAAGCTGTTATTAAAGAGAGAGAGAGAGGCAGTTATCATTGTCATGATGGTCCTATGACACTAGATCCCTCCAGAGAAGTTTACTTAAAGAAGATAAGAAGCAAGCGGATGAGTGGAACAGTTATTAATATCTGACACCAGGCACTGCGCACACACTGTTCCTGCCAGGAGGCACCGGGTGGCCTGACAGGATGCTTCAGCCCTGAGGTGTCTGAACCAACAGCAAGGTCACTGTCACCAAGTGTGTAAACACCAGGCTTGAGGCTCTGTTGAGCCAAGTGGGGAGAAGGTGCAGCAGAAGCTATGGGTCATGGTCCCTCACATGGGAAATTGAGCCCAATGAGAATGAGGATGGCTGAGGGACTGTGCTGTCTCTGAACGGCTTCCTTCCTGATAGGGCATCGGGCGAGAATCTGTTCTGTCAGGCTGTGTGGATAATAATGGAGAGTGTGAGAATGTGTTGAAGTGGCCAGAAAATCATGTTATGATGCTGGTCAAACAGTCCCCTGGGCCACTGCCCTGGTGGTGCCATGGAGTCAGGGCGGACACCGAGCAAGTCGGGCTGTGCCTGCTGGGCCAGGTCAGCTTGTGGGTGGGCTGTCTTGGTCTCTCAACTTTCAGGCTGTGCCTCCGTGGCACAGGTTTTCAGCCTTCTTCGTCCTAAGGACAGTGGGGCCTCTGCAGGGCCTCAGAAGCCTTGCCTCAGGAAAAATGTAGTTTTGCCTTAAAACTGCCTCTCAGAGTCAGGGTTACAAGTGTGAGCATCTGGGTCCAGGGACAAACTAAGAATATGTTCTACAAACATTTCTAATTAATGTATTGTTATTACTGTCCTTTCCTCAGGGCCTGTCAGGATCCAGACACTTAGCTGCAACCCATGGGCACAACAAAAAGCTATTTAAAAATAACTGGAACGTAGACACTGTGAAGGCACAGGGCTGGATTTCCTCCGGCCTGTCCTGTCATCAGTGCTTGGTGGTGGTTATTGATGTCTGCGTGCCGGGCACTGCTCACACACGCTGCTGCTGCCAGGAGGCACCCGGGCTGGCCTGGTGGACTTGGCAGGTGCGGGTCAGGGCGGGCTGCCTGTGCGGGGAGTGCCTGGGAGAGGAGGGGGATGGAGGCAGCTGGCCTCAAAGGGAAGGTGGGATCTGTGGGCCTTCTGCTCACGGTGCAGGCAGGACCCAAGGAAGTCCTAAAACTGTGGGCTGAGAAAGAGACCGGAGGGTGGAGACCGGACTGTATCTGTAGTGGTGTAGATAGAAATGTGTATCAGATGAAGGTGTAAGACCACGAGGTGGGGCAGCAGGGCCAGTTTGGTTGCAGTGGTGAGGTATGTATGTGCACAAACGTGGGAGGGGAAGGCAGAGGTGGGGCAGAGGCAGGGAAGGGCTCTGACGATGCTTGCTGGGATAGAGGAAAGGCCTAGAAAGAACAGCTGGAGGAATGGAAATGAAGGGTTGGGCCTGCAGGAGGGTAGTGGACATTGACACAACAGGGAGAGAGTAGGGAAGGAAGGTGGTAGGATGGAGGGGTGGGGTGGTGGTGGCTGGGGATGGGGGAAGGTTAGGTGGGGGAGGGGCCCCAAGCAAGGGAAGGAGAGGAGAGGAGGGGGGCAGGCAGGGAAGTACCCCCCCCCCGCTTCTCTTTCCGACCCCACCCCCCCAGCTCATGCGGGCAGTGAGGGGCAGGAGAGCACCTCCACTAGAGCCATAGGCTCTGGTCAAACCGCTCAGTCCATGTCTGGCTGTGCCGCCCACTGTACGACTGCGGCCAGGTCCCTTAATTTCTCTGTGATTGAGCTCCTCACTGTAAAATGAGGGCTGATAATATTAGCTACCTTATAGGTTATGCTTAGTAGGCACCCCACAAATGCTGGTGGCTGTGTTGTTAATATCATTATAGCTGCTACTAGTTAGTTGAGTTTGTTGAACTTAATACAAATTATTATTTTTTAAAAAAACTAGCATTTTACTATTTTTTCTGATGTTGATGGATTTGAACTTTGCTTGTTAGAAACAAGGGTGTGGGAAGTTAGAACAAAAAAGAAGTCATTTCTTGTTAGGGAACCATGGAGAAGGAGATTTGGGTGATCCAAGAATCTGAAATGGGCAGGAGGAGAAGGGGTCAGAGGCCATGACACAGTCAGAGATCGGCTAGAGTTGACCCACTGACTGGTGCCCCTTTGGCCACAGCAAAAGGAAGAGGGAGGGGGGCAGTGCCAGCCAGGTTGCCCTGGTCGGGCTGTTCACCTGCATCTTCCAGACACCTCAGGGCTGGCCTCTGAGTGAAGGCAGGCGTTGGATTTGGAGGGGAACAGCCTCTTGTGACCAGACTGGCTGGTTTAAACAGGGAGAGAACTGGGAATAACCCCGATGAGATGCCACATCATTCCAATAAGTAACAGTAACATCTGGAACGATCCCAATCCAGTCTGTCTCATGAAGAGAGCAGTTCTCCAAACTGCTTCGCATGCAACAGACACAGACGAATGAGCTGCCCGACCACAGGGGCGAGGTCAGCTGGAACGTTTGCTTCTTATCTCTGGCACGTGAGGCTCAGCAACCAGTGAGGAGCAGGACTTGAATGACAGTGAGAAATCTCACATCTGTACCAGCACGAACATACAAGCAGGCAGACACACCAATACCCTCCCTGGAACTTCTCCAGTTTCCTCTATCTACCATTATGTCCTTCTCCCTGTGAGCCTGCCCCTGGGAGTTGTATGCAAAATAACAAGTTGCATGACAAAAAAGAGGTGGGGATGAGGACAAAGAGAAAAGTGACACAGACAGTAGTCTCTTGTTCTTCAGATGTTCCACTTTACTAAGTTGTAGTCTGTCCCCTCCTGTCCTCTTCCCATCCCCGTGACATCCGTGCCCACAGGACTGGGCCATTAATGGAGCCGGGAGGTGGCATAAAAACTCAGGACTCGAAAGCCATGCTGTGGACATCACCAGCCACACTCTGCGGGGGATGATAGTCAAAAGAATATGGTTTACTTCTAAAGTTGTATTTTCAATTTCTCATCCTTGTGGAAAGAGGTTCAGTCTTGGTTAAAGACCCCAGCTTTGCTTCTTATTTTCTCTGTGACTTACTTAACCTCCCCTAACCTCAGTTTCCTCGTTTGCAAAATGAGGACAATAGTGCATACCTCTAGAAATGCTACTTCCATCTTATTTTAGGGATGGTCCAAATATCTTACTGCTAGGACATGGCCAACAGTGTTTTTCTTAGAGAGGGGATGAGTTTTCATTATCATTCATTCATGTGTTCATACAGACCTCACCATCAGACTTGACTTGCATCAGTTCCACACCATAAACGCTTCACCCTAAGATCATTGCTCGGCCCAGAAAAGGATTTTTGGAAATCAGAGTATTCACTGGTTCTCAGAAGTAGTAACATCCGGCCACCTTTGTCTAGTCCCCACACGTTCCACCTCCAGATACAAACAAAGTGGGCTTTTGTCTCCTGGCACCTCAGAGGACACCCTGAGTGTGACTGAGTCAGGACCATGGCATTCTTGGTTGTTAGGCCTGTGGGGTCACCCTGTCCCCTCTGGGGCATGACTCACACCAATTCAATCTTAGTGAATAAAGCCTCTATTATCCTTACAAAACCTTATGGAAGAAGATGATTTCACATGCTCTTCCAGACACTTCTGCCCATTTCTGAAAGAGCTCAGAGCTGGGACCTTTGAGTCAGTCATGAAAATCACCCAGTTCTAACATACTCTATTAAATTTGGCCACAAGAAGCTAGAATGGCAGTGAAGAGGCGGCGGCGGCACCCTGTAAGAGGCCTGGTATCACCTGGGAAAGCGCAGACATAGAATTCTTGGTGGAGCTGGGTGAGGTGGCTCACACCTGTAATCCTAGCACTTTGGAAGGCCGAGGTGGGAGGATAGCTCAAGGTCAGGAGTTCGGGACCAGCCTGAGCAAGAGCGAGCCCCATCTCTACTAAAAATAGAAAGAAATTAATTGGCCAACTAAAAATATATAGAAAAAATTAGCCAGGCATGGTGGTGCATGCCTGTAGTCCCAGCTACTAGGGAGGCTGAGGCAGAAGGATCACTTGAGCCCAGGAGTTTGAGGTTGCTGTGAGCTAGGTTGACGCCACGGCATTCAAGCCTGGGCAACAAAGTGAGACCCTGTCTCAAAAAAAAAAAAAAAATTCTTGGTGGAAACTTGCCATCTGAGTGGCCTTTGTCAAGTTCCTCATTTCAGCAGTAAGTCTGACACCCTCCCTGCAGCAGGAAGGCCCGTCTGAGGGTGGGAGGATTCACCACCGGCCCTTCCTGTTGCACTTCTTTGAACTCAGGGACAACTCGTCAAAATGGGGAAGGAGTTTCTCTTTAGAGAGGAGGCTAGGTGGCTGGATTGTGAAAGTAATGATCCTATTTTAAGGGCAGAGGAACAAACAGTGTTAATTTTGTTTCCGCGGTTGATCTAACCTAGATCCTGCGGAAATCAATTTTCTCCTGGTCTGTACAGAGCAGACAGAAAGACACCAGTGACCTTACATTACATTTTTATAGGATGATTTCAGTAATCTCATAGGTCTGTGTTCTCTCTGTAATGGAATTGGCAGAGTAGTGCGTGGATCCTAAATAAATGCCATCTCTCCAGAAGGAAGACCGTAAATGACAACTGAAAGATCATAGCATCGAGACTCAGACAAGTATCCTTACCTTACCAACTATCCTTACCAGTAACTTTGAACAAGTTAGTCCCTCAGAGGGGACTTCTTAACCTGCTCTTATCCTTTCTTGTCTGCATCTTCAGAGGCCCAGTGTTTTATCCTAAAATTAGGACAAGAATATCTTCTTGGCAGTGATATTGTAAAGATTAAGTGAGATAATATATGTATGTACCTGGCACATGCAGGCTCTTAATAAATGGCACCTTTAGGACTTAAAACAGTGAGGCTGGGTACAGGCTGGGTGTCTGCGACAGGTCTAACTACTCTATGAGCCTTCACGGGGCAGCTCCATCCATCTGGCCCAGGAGTCCACAGTATGGGCTGCAGGAGACCCAGGGAAAACTGCTGGTCTCAGGGCCACCTGGATGGAACAAGACGGTGGCTCCTGAGGTTGGAGAGGTGCCAGGACTGAGGATCAGAAGCAGCCATGGGCTGCCAGTGGTTTGCGCCACTCTCCTCCTACAGCAGCTGCCAGGCTCGGGCTGCTGGGGGGCCTGTCAGGAGCTACGGGCTGAGGGGCGAGGCAGGGCGTGTGGGACAGCCTCGTGCAAGTTCGGAGTTTGGGTGTCACTGCAAGTCCGCTAGCTAGCAGAGCTCTCTGGCTGTCTCACCCAGGGTTTGTAGGATTTCCTCTTCCTGGTCCCAGGGCCAGACAAGGACATTATGGGCAGGAAGAAACCATCAGTGTGCACAGGAAGAAGAGCAGCTTCTAAATCAGTCCAGGGGACAGAGCCCAGCTGAAGTGTTTTTCTGCTCTCATTTAATTATCAAAATGATTCCTCTTCTTCTGTCCTCCCCAGGGCTGCGTGCCCCAGATTCCCTGGGCCCAGTAATTGCCTCTCTGTTAATAGAAATCATCAGTATTTATTACACCGACTGGGCCAGCTTATTTCAGCTCTCCTTGTAGCAACATTAAGGGGAGAGCTTGGTAGCTTATCACTAAAGTGACTCTACTTAATGACAAGAGTAAAGGCTCCCAGACTGTTCTCTTTGCTTGGGAGGGCTGAGGAGGCCAAGAGCCAGAGCCTAATGGGAGGAACTGAGGGGGCTGTGAATGGAATCTGCAGCTGGGCCCTGCCATGGCCTGGGGGAGCAAGAAGCAGAGGCCTAGGGACAAGGGGCCCAATGGGACAAGCACTCCCACCTTCCCAGAGTAGGTCTCCTGGGGACTCCTGCCCTACAGAGGGTGCACAACAACTGTCAGTGACATGAGCTCAAACTCTTGCTGTACCACCCAGGGCCTTGTGAACTTTGTCCTCCTGGAACATCAGCCTTCTTATCTCCAAAACAGGGAGAATAACACCCACTCCCAGGGCTCATGTGAGGAAATAACACAAAAGCACTCCCCTGGGCCTGCCAGGGGAGGCACACCACAAGCATTTCTTCATTTTTCCCTCCCTCCCTCCCTCTTTCCAGGAGTTGATGCCGTGGGGATGAGATGATATTTGGGACTGGGCTGCACGCAGTGCCTGGCATGGATGCTGCAGTCCTTTCTGCTTCTCTGTGTCCAGTGATGGACAAACTCACCAAAGATAAGGCTGTGTCAGGAGCCCTGCATCCTGGGGCATGTGAATTTGGGCTAGAACCAGGCCGGCTGCCACTCCATCTTTAGACGCCCATGATGAAAGTGGGAATCCCCACCCACCTCTCGTCAGTGCTGTGTTCAGGCTCCCTGTCTGCCCACCTGTGAGTGCCGTCGGCCCTGCCCGGGGACCCGTCTCTGGCCTCAAGGGGACTGGGCAGGTTTGGGGTCAAGTGCAGAGCTGACCTGGCACCTTCAGCTAACCATGTCTATCTTCAGCGGCTATGAGTCGAGTACCTCAGCAGTTTAGGGAGCACAGGTGCTGGACACTCACCGTGCACCTTCACACAGGTGAGGAAAGGGAGGCTCAGAGAAGCCTCCAAAGGCCCCCGTAGGCAGGAGACTCGGACTGCGCCCTCGGGCTGGCTGGCTCCAAAGCTCTCATCACTCCTGTGTGGGGCCCCTGTGCATAGTATCTGCGCAACTTTTGGGGGGGTGTTAAACTACATCTATATGCAGAGGGCATTATTTGGGGAGTTTTGCTAACGTGTAAATACCTACGTGCCAATTCTTTTGTATAAATGGTCTAAATGTATTTTCTGACAGCGTGGCCCCAGGAACATAGGGTTACCTGGCAGCAGACTAAGCTAGTGGACAAGGAGCAGTGGGTAGAGAAGATGACCAGGGTTTCTGAATGCCAGGATGTTCTCAAGGCGCATGTTAAATCCTAGGCAAGAACAAATCACTGTCAACTCACCAGGGGGAAAAGGAAAAAAAACGCCTTGGCCCCAAGGCAACGGGCCCAATTTTTTTTTTTTTTGAGAGAGTCTCGCTTTGTGGCCCAGGCTAGAGTGAGTGCCATGGCGTCAGCCTAGCACACAGCAACCTCAAATTCCTGGGTGCAAGCGATCTTCCTGCCTCAGCCTCCCGAGTAGCTGGGACTACAGGCATGTGCCACCATGCCCGGCTAATTTTTTCTTATATATCAGTTGGCCAATTAATTTCTTTCTATTTATGGTAGAGACAGGGTCTCGCTCTTGCTCAGTCTGGTTTCAAACTCCTGACCTTGTGCAATCCACCTGCCTCGGCCTCCCAGAGTGCTAGGATTACAGGCGTGAGCCACCGCGCCCGGTCTGTGCTCATTTGTTTCTATTCTGCTTGTTATGAGCTGGGTTGTATCCCTCTCAAAAATTCATGTGGTGATGTCCTAACCCCCAGTACCTCAGAATGTGACCTTATTTGGAGACAGGCTCTTTACAGAGGTCATTGAGTTAAACTCAGGTCAGTGGGGTGGGCCCTAATCCAGTATATACAACTAGTGTCCTTATAAGAAGAGGAAATGTGGACACTGACACACACAGAGGGAAGACAGTGTGAGGACACAGGGAGAAGATGGCCATCCGCAAACCAAGGAGAGGGGACTGGAACAGATCCTTCCCTCAGAGCCTGCAGGAGGAAGCAACCCGGCCGACACCTCGATCTCAGGCCTTCAGAACTGTGAGACAATAAACTTCTGTCGTTTAAGCTACCTAGTTTGTGACACTTTGTTACAGCAGCCCTGGGAAATGAATATGCTATTCTTTTCATTTTTGCTTGAAACTTATAGTGTCCTCTCTCCCGTCAGGAAGAAAATGTTGATGTCTTCCTGTTCCCAGCTGATACTATCTCCTTCAGATCAATTTGACAATTGCTTTTTACTAGTGGTATTGTAACCTCTCCAGTAACAGAAAAGGGGAGGCAGAAATGTGGAGAAACTGAGGCAGAGAGCAGGAGTGTCAAAGCAACAGGGACAGGAGTTGAAGGGGAGGGACACAGCCACAGAGACAGGAAGAGGCCACGGGTCTCTGCTGCCCTCAACGGTGACTGGGGCTGCCGGCGCTCATCTCCGAAGTGCCAGACACAAGTGAGTGATTACGGAGCTTTTCTCTGGGCACAGCCTCCCTGGCTGTGGCCGTCCATCCCTCAGAGGCGTGTAATGGAATTAAGTGTGCCTCCACTGCGGTTCCGCGCGGTGACTTATGCCACTGCAGTCAATAAAACCCACTCTTGGAAAGAAACTAGATTACGGGTCAGGGAAGGGTGGACAGTCGCTGAGCTGCCTCCGATCATTCCCTGTGGGGGGCCTACCACTCGCCGCCTGTCTTCATTTCTACCGGCTTCTCCACTGCTGCCTAAGTGGGGCTGGGTGTTGGATTTGTTATTTAGATTGACTTTGCCCCGGCTCCTCTGACGCTGATGTGGCAACACAGAATCATGCAGCGTAGCATACAGCGGAGTTTTCACAATGAGACCTTTTCTCTGGCATCTGTCACTGGAAGAGCCAGTCCTGCAGGCACTGGAGGGTGCCTCTGGGTGCAGACATGTGGTCCCTCGCTCCTGTCGCCCCCTAGAGGAAGTAAGGTTGGCGCAGTCTCCGACCACTGGGACTCTTACCTTACATGGGTGAGGATCCACTCCGTAAGTTTCCAAAGTCTGCGCTTTCCTTAAGAAGTTCAGCTCTGATGTTGCTGGTGTTTGACCACTGGAATAAAGAAAATGAGATGATTTCAGGGCTTCCTGTTCCCACAGGTTCCCCTGAGGTAAATGATCTATTAAGATGTGCTCAGGGTGAGCCGCACAGCTCAATTTTTCCATAGAGTATGCTCCCTGCTTGGTTCTAGGACCAACGTCAGAGACTCCTGCCCAGAGTCAAAAACTCCAATGTCTTGAGAGTGAGGCAGGCTACATAATGAATCCCCTGGGCTGTATGGACAATAGGGGGTAGAGGGGACTGTGGCAAAATGGAGAGTGTTCCCACCACCTAATGAGCACAGCTGCTCCTCAGCTCTGAGATTTCTGTCATGTGAGAATGAAGGGCCCAGCATTGCTAGATGTTGTGATTTTTAAAAGTCAGAGATACTGATTTTTATGTGGTGTTTTACAATTTTAAATACTATGGGGATTTAAAAAACCCCCACATCTATAGGCTGGATGCAGGCCATAGGTTTCTCATCTGCCATCTGATCTAGACTGAAACACAAAGAAGGGGTTGTATGTCTTGCGCATGCCACCCAGCCCTGTCCCTTCACCAGAAGGGGGCACAAGAGCGCAGGGTGAGGAGAAGCAGGAGGAGACAGCGCTGAGCTCCCACACTCCACAGCCTCTCTGTCTGACCACAGGGCGAAGATATGAAAAGGAAACAAGCTGAAAAAGGAAGACTTCAGCCCTGGTCCAAGCCATCTGAAGAAGGCTGCCTATAGCATCACTTCCTTGCCGCTGCCTCTTTAGCGGGTGTGTTGATGAGCTTGATGCAGAACCAGTGGGGCTGTCACCAGTGGGCTCTCTCATGGCTCCAGTGCCCTGTAAGGACATGCACTTGTACAGACAGTGGTATGCGGAGCTCTGGGCAGTTTGTGGAGTCAACACCTCTGAAGGCCGGTGGGTAGGACTGACAGGTTGTTCGTTTCTAAGTTTATCATTTGCCTCAAGTAATATGGCAGGGCAGGAAGACAAGCCAACCCAAGTGAGAAGCAGGCCAGATTCCTTCCCGGTCCCTCTGGAGAGGTAGCACTCAAACAGCATCTTTACGTGACAGCCTGTGTGCTACTTGCCGTAAAATATACCAGGACACATAGCACAGAGTCTGGGCCCTCAGGAACTCATGTTAGGGTTAGAGAAAGGAGGTATGAACACGGTTTTACATTAGGAGGACAGGCTGACCTGTGTAGGCAGGTATTGCTGTGAATGCAGACTTCTACATCCACCAGCGTGCCTGAGACACAGGAAAGTGTTTGGAAAATGCTTGTGCAGCAGGCAAACGGCTGGACTCCATTCCCTGTCTGCAGGGTGGCAGGCCCTGTGGGCTCCATTCACCCCTAGAGTCTGCCCAAACCTCCAGGGCCCTAAAAGTGGGCATCATTTCCTGGGGGATCCCCTGCCTTGAACTAGGTTTCTAGAGGACTTTCCCCACTATTCTTTTTTTTTTTTTGAAACAGAGTCTCACTTTGTTGCCCAAGCTAGAGTGAGTGCCGTGGTGTCAGCCTAGCTCACAGAAACCTCAAACTCCTGTTTCCCCACTATTCTGACATCTCCTAAAACCGTCCAGGCAGTTCCAGCATGTCCCTCATCTCTTCTTTGAAGGAACTGTGAGGCCTCACACAGGTCCGTGTTTATTCTGATCCTCACCACAAGGGGTCGCTATTTCCCTAACAGAGAGCTGGGGGAGGCACCCGGCTGGGCGCTGGGCAAGGCTGCACCTGCACAGGGAGGGGTGGGAAGCCTCCGTTCCTCTGGGACAGAACCCGTCCTGCCACACACGGTGGGCAGGGAGTCTATTTACAAAGGCTAAGGAGGCCTTCGGGTGTATTTGTTGAGAGAAAGTCACTGAGTGAAGGGCTTTGAGGGTCAAGGTCAGGGTGGGAACTAGTTTAAGCTTAGTACTAGAAACTAGAACTATTTACAGTTACGCTTAGCATTAGAAATATCCACCACCACCCACTTCCCCTGCCAGGCATATTCCTTCCTCAGAACAGTGATACACAAACATTTTTAAATATTTTTTTAATTGTTTTTTTTTTTTTTTTTTTGAGAAAAGAGTCTCACTCTGTTGCCCAGGCTAGAGTGCCGTGGCGTCAGCCTAGCTCACAGCAACCTCAAACTCCCGGGCTCAAGGGATCCTGCTGCCTCAGCCTCCCGAGGGAGTAGCTGGGACTACAGGCATGCGCCACCATGCCCGGCTAATTTTTTCTATATATTTTTGGTTAGCCAATTACTTTCTTTCTATTTTTAGTAGAGACAGGGGGTCTCGCTCTTGCTCGGGCTGGTCTCGAACTCCTGACCTTGAGCAATCCACCTGCCTCAGCCTCCCAGTGTGCTAGGATTATAGGCGAGAGCCACCACACCTGGCCAAAATTGTATTGTTTTAAAATGATGACATATTTTATTTTACAGCACTGCATTCATTATATATACTATTTTTCTTCATAGTTTGTTAGTTTGAGGAATCTTGAAACTGCCCTTTATAAAATTAATTAAAGGGCTACAAGGTAGGAACTGTGGTAGGGGCCTGAACTCTGCAAAGGTACAGGCATAGTTAAAAAATATATATAACCAGCCATTGTTGCTTTCCTATAATTTCTACTCAGGAGTCACATAGCAGATGGTCATAAAGAACCTTAGCTTTCTTCATTGCTCCCATAGATAACGTCACCCTTGTGAAACCTAAGGCTAGTTTTTGAGATCTCTTCCAGACTCTACATTCCAGTGGATTGGCTGACCCACCCAGACCAGTGGCCCGTACCAAGGAATTGACTCAACTGGTCTTGGGACCCCCACCCAGGAACTGACTCAGCACAGGAAGACAATTTCGACACCCCTGTGGTTCCACTCAAACCCAGCCAATAAGCAGACCCGGCCGGGCGCGGTGGCTCACGCCTGTAATCCTAGCTCTCTGGGAGGCCGAGGCGGGCGGATTGCTCGAGGTCAGGAGTTCGAAACCAGCCTGAGCAAGAGCGAGACCCCGTCTCTACTATAAATAGAAAGAAATTAATTGGTTAACTAATATATATAGGAAAAAATTAGCCGGGCATGGTGGCGCATACCTGTAGTCCCAGCTACTTGGGAGGCTGAGGCAGCAGGATTGCTCGATCCCAGGAGTTTGAGGTTGCTGTGAGCTAGGCTGACGCCACGGCACTCACTCTAGCCTCGGCAACAAAGCAAGACTCTGTCTCAAAAAAAAAAAAAAAAAAAAAAAAAAAAGCAGACCCAATCACCTAGCCATTTGCCCACCAAACTATCTTGAAAAAACCTTTCTCCCAAATTCTCAGGGAGATGGGTTTGAGAAATTCCTCCCATCTCCTTGCACCCCACCTGTGATATTAAACTCTTTCTCTGCTGTAACCCCTGCTGTCTTAGTGTGTCAGCTTCTTCTTGAGCAGCAGGCAATGCACCTGGTAAGGCTGGAACAATCCATGCTCCAGTGTGCCTCAGCAAGTGGAGGCTAAACTCCCTATTGTTGTTTTCTAAAATCACTCTTTGTAGAAAATCCTATTTCATGTGGGTGAAAGGTTGCACTGATGCTGTTTTATGGGATTCTGCATATTCTGAGCAAACTAAGAGACACTGAAGAACATAAGGCTCCATGCTTGAAGCCCCTTCTCCTTGAAGCCCACTTTCCTTGGTGCAGGGTCAGGGACTCTAGGCAGGGTATGTGGGGGTTGAGTTAGTGCTGAAGACGTAGTTCTGAACCAAAGTGATCGCAGGGTACTCCCAGTATTCACGAATCAGCCCTGTGCCATCCATCCTTAGTGGAACAAATACCTTTCAAAAGCCACTCTCTCTCTATTTTCCCTATAATACAACTTCTCTCTTGCCATTTAGCCTTAGCTTAAACCACCTTTCTTGGAGAGTGAGCCTACAGCGGTTGGGGCTATGCTGTCAGTGGGTACATCTCAGGATCTGGAAGGCTGGGGGTAGCTCAGCAGTTCCTTCAACAGTGTTTCAACAACCTCTCTGTGCAGCCAGAGCAGTTTGAGACCCCTGGGTGCTCTCCAGCCCTTTAAAAAAAAAAAAAAGGGAAGGCTGGGGGACACCCTCTGTCAGTGAATGGTCGGTCTATGAGAGCGAAGGACATACCACAGAGCCCGCGTGCTCAGGCTGGGGGAGGGGACACAGCATCCTGGGCCTCAATGGGTGTCACGTACCTGAGTTCTGTCCTGTGAATCTCAGCGATTTTCCTTTCTAGCTTCTCTGAATGTTTAGGGAAAAACTGGAACTTGGAGCTGTAGCCTTCAGGGTGTTTCCCTGAGTCATAATCCCCAATCTCCGCTTTCGAAAGGAAGGTACAAGAAAACAAGTGTGGAAATAGGTAAATCATCATTGGCAAAGCAACAAGAGATCAGTACACAGAGCAACAGCCAAAGCACACAGCAGATTTACAGAGAATAGTGGATCCTGAGCATGGCTGAGGGCTGGGCAGAGGGCAGGCCCTGGAGGAACATGTCCACCTTTGCCGTCCCAGGTATACACACTGGGTTGACATTCAAGTCTATGCAGGGAGGCCGTGGACCTGACCCTCTGTTCTGAGGTTACCACAAGTAAATCTGCAATAAAAGAGCAAAAGCCTGCACCATGGTTCTCATTCATTCAGCCATGAGAAGAGGGCCTAGGAGCATTGCTCTTTGTGGCAGCACAGGAAAACAGTGAGCTTGGTCAGGAAGACAGAAGCTCTTGGGCCTGAGCCAGATGAGAAGTCTAAACCTCATTTTGAGGATCTTAGCAGGGACACAGCAAATTGATGAATTAAGCCATGATCCAAATTCAGAACTCAACCTTCGGTCCAAATATGATCAAATGAATAAATTTGAATAAATATTCATTAAGGGCTGACCAGGTGCCAGGCCCCTTTGAAAGGCTTGCGGAACAGGAAGCCTGGCTGCAAGCAAAAAGTGTCATTGAGTTCAAAAGCACCAAGTTCTAAGGCTGATTTCTCAGCTCCCTGCCAGGTGTGGGGCTTTCTCCTCTGGCCATTCACAGAGAATGTTCATCTCTAAACCTGATGAGATCTAAGCTCAGTAGCTTTGGGAGGACAGAGGACCCCTGGTGCTTTCCACACCCAGGTCGGATTCCAGCTTTCTCCCAGGAAGAACTCCGCAGGGGACGTGGTAGGTATGATAAAGGAAAGGAGGAGGGTCCAGCTGCCTGGTGGTTGCCCTTTTCCTTCCCTGGTGAGAGTCTCAGCCCTCAGATGAGAAGTCTTGAGGGAGGAGGATTAAGAGCAAAACATGCCCTCCTCTCATGGCTGAATATCGTATTTGTGGCTTATGCTTTTTTACTGCAAGTCTACTTACTGTGACTTCCAAGTTACTCAGGAATTTCTATTGTTTAGCAAGAGACTAAAGGCTTCCCCAAGCCTGAAGTATGGGGTGACCTTGAGCCTCAGAGTCATTTATTATGATTATATTTAGGAAGCTTCAAGTGGAAAATATCAATATTGGACATCAAGCAATTCTTTAAAGAAAAAGAAATGATTGTCAGTATAAAACTGAAGGAATGACTAGAATTTAAAACTTCACTTAAATCTGGCCAGGCTTTGTCTTTAAGAACGAAAGGGGCATCCTTAGGTACCTTCAAATCAGCAATGGCCCACTAGACTTCCCATTTAGGTGATTTTTAAAATAGAAGCCTCAGAAGTGAAAGTGGCAATGGGCTGACTTTTACATTCTTAATGCAGCTGTGATATTTCTCTTGCCAGAAGGGCTTCTGTTTCTTATCAGCAAGCATTTTCTAAGTTCTCTTTACAAAGTTGCTTCTGGGAGTTCACAGATTTCCGATTAAGAGTTCATATTTTTTGATGGAAGCTTCATGATTTTACTGCTATGGTAGTAATGGCAGTTTCAGGCCTAAGGACTGAGAGAAACCTGGGAAGTGGCATTTAAGTGACTCCTGCATTTCAGGAGGAGGGGACATATGTGAAGGGTGCATCTCTTTCCCACTGTTTTGCACAAAAAGCCCATCTGGGTATCAGCTGGGTAAGACTCAGCTATTGTTCTTATTAGCATGTTAGGAAATATGCTTGTCACTTGGAAATACTTTCAACTTTAAACACTCTGAACTAAAAGGACTCTGAAACAGATTCCAGAATTCCAAGATGCTTTGTATCCTAGAGATTGCATGAGAGGATAGAAAAAAACAAAATGATTCCAATTACTCTCCAGAGAGTCCCAGTAACTTTATCAATCAAAGGCACAGGGAGAATCCCCCAGAGTCAGAATGACTTGAAGGGGCTGGTGGTAAGACCTTAGGTACCGTTTAGGATCCAGTGTTTGGTGGTTTCTGGCTCTAGGAAGTCTAAGCAAAATCCTCTAACTTGAACTCTGCTTCAAGTTAGACACTGTTTAGATCCAAGAAGTAGTCATCTGTGGTAACTGAAATAATGGAATCAGTACTTAGCACGAAAAGCAAATTTATCCTGTCAAAAGTCATTACCTTGAAGGATATAAGCTGCTAACAAGGCAGCATCAGACGTTTTACAGAGGAGGCGGCCATGGTAGAGATCTCTTTTGATCTGTAGGAAGACTAAATACCTGGAGAGAAAAAAGAGGATGAATTATAAAGGATTTCTTTGATTGCTTTAAAGACATAAACATGTAATGTAAGCCTATCAAAATATTTGTCAGGATACTTTTACTACATTAAAAAAAAAAAAAAAACAAACCTCAAAACATACCACAGAACAAATATATTTTCCATTTCCCTGGAGACTCTTTCAAGTACTTTGCCTTATTGAGGTTTGATTCAAAACAACATGTCAGTTTCCTTCCGTAGCTCAAAACAAAAACGTCTGTCTCCTGGTGAAAGCATCTTCTCCTGCACCCTACTACTGGGCCGGGTTTGGAAGGAGCCAGCCCTAAAAAGAAAACTGCCAAAAAAGAAAACTATGCCTTCAGGCATGGGGCAAACTGGGCCTGTCCACACCCTGGATTCTGGCTGATGCTCCATCTTTTAAGAAGTAGAACGCAAGTGGAGGAACTAGCCCAGGGAAGAATTATTCAGCCTTGGCTTGCCAAGAGAACCCATCCATATGTGGAAAGAGCCTGCAATCGGCAGGTGTCAACCAGACCTCTCTGAATTTGAGTAGAGTATAAGAAGAGGCACTGGTGAAGGAAGCACAAAAATTAAGCAGAAACCTGTGGCCAGCATCTCTTCGAATGCACAGAGCTTCCAGCTCCAGGTGGAAACAAGGTATCAAGAATAAGAGTTAACAGTAGCTGACAGGTATGGAGCACACTATCTGCCAGTCCGGGTGTCACCTTTACGTGCGCTATCTCATTTAGTTCTCACATAACACTTTGAGATGAGTACTATGATGACACCCATTTTTTCCAGATAAAGAAGCTGAGGCTATAGTGATTTTATCACAGACATACAATTAACTGGTAGAGCCAGGATTCAAATTTGGGCCACTGAGTTATACTGCCCTCTTGCACTGTCACCGCTTTGTAAGTTCACAAGGGCTTGGATGGACCCCATCACAATGGAATGGAATTGATGACTTTCCATTTTGAAATGTCTTTGCAAGGTGTGTGGTCTTTGAGGCCCCAAGTCTTACCGGTCTCCTAAGAAGAGATTATGAGGAGCATCAAACCTTTGAGAGAGTCATGTACCACAATGGCTCGTTGGCCAGGGAGCATCTGTGTGATGGTTTAAAAATGCATCCTCAAATGCTTTGATGCTCCTCATTTCATGAGGTGGAGCTTAATTCCTTCCCTTTGAGTGTGGCTGAGGCTTAGTGATTCACTTCTAAGAATAGAATAAAGCAGAAGCGACAGTGTCTGACTTCTGAGACCAGGTCATAAAGTCATTAACAGCTTCCTTCTTGTTCTCTTTCTCTTGGACCACACACTCTGCTTGAGGTTGATTAAGCAGCCCTATGGAAAGGTCCATGAGGTGAGGAACCGAGGCTCTTTGCCAACAGCCAGCAAGGAACCGAGGCTCCCTGCCAACAGCCATGAGAGTGCACCATCTTGGAAGTGGGTCCCCAGTCAAGCCTCCAGATGACTGTGGCCCAGGCCAACCTCCTGACTGCAACCTCATGATTCACCCTGAGCCAAAATCACTCAGCTAAGCTGCTCCTGAATTCCTGACCCACAGAAACTCTAAGAGAAGAAATACTTGTTGTTTTCCGCTAAGTTTTGCGGTATTTTGTTAGACAGCCATAGAGAACTATAGCATCCCTGGGAGAATCATGAAAATGTAACAAAATTCCCTTAAATTCCACCAGCCTGAAACAAAAAGAAATTGGCCCCCTCCCTGGACAACTGGAGGTTTCCCCTGCTTCTGTTTTCAGGCTGAAGAATAAAACAAGAGTATTCCATGTCCACTTGGATCATGCCCAAGAGTAAGTAAGAGGCCCAGTGACAGTGCGATGTCTAGGAGGGGGTAGGCAGGGTACCAGCAGTAATGCTGAGAGCTGTGAGCTTGGAAAGTCAAGTAATTATGGCACAGAAATGAAGGCACAGTCAAACTTCTTCTCTCCTCAGGCTTTGCTACTCAAAGTGTAGCCCACGTATAAGAAGCAGCAACATCACTTGGGAGCTTATGGAGATGCAGAATTTTAGGCCCGCCCTATACCAACATGTGCACCTTTTAACAAGACCTCCAGGTGATCTGTATATAGATTAAGTTTAAGAAGCACTGACCTAAGGAAATTCAAAAGCATCCTTGTATGCACATCGGGATGGAATGCCTTCCTCAAACTAAAGGGAAGGGGAGTAGTTTAGTCTGGAAGTTACCGAGAACCCTTCCCCCTCCTCCCACCAACCCCACGCTGCCCCAGTGTTTGCTAAGAAAAACTGAAGGACCAAAGACATCATGTGGAGGCAATAATTAAGATGGATCTACCAAATCAAGCTTGTCTTCACTCTGCTTCCCACGGTGAAATGCCACACGGTGTGTGGGAGACAGCGAGTGAGCGCTTCTCTGCCTCTCACTGTTCCGGCTCCCACCTCCTGCAGGCTCCGGCAGGATGTGGGTGCGAACCTTTTGCCCCTTCCTCAGGGATCACTCCCTGGGCCTGGATACCTGCATCGTGCCTTCCATGTCTGACTGTGCCCAACATCCAGGCACAGCACATACTAAAGGAAATATTTCAAAGCGAGAACACAGCTCTGGGCAGTGATTCTCAATGTGGCAGAGAAGGGAATGTCTCCCTGGGGCAGCAGGTCAGAATCTGTACATGTGGGGTGCTCCTGGGGTTTGAAAAGGCCCCTCTACAGCTTCTGATTTGCTTCCACCCTCTCTGTCCACCCGAGAGGACATGCTGCTCACACCGAGAACCACTGTCTTCACAAGGCATTGCTGATGGGTGTGTAACAGGTGCCTCACGTGTCCTGGAACGGAAACAAGGCCTTCCACTGCTGGGTGGGTCCCTTCGGGCTTTGGTGATAAAATAGCTACGGGGAGGTCAAAGGTAAGGCCCTGGAGCATTCTCAGGCAATGTCATAGAACTGGGGGAAAGGGAGGAAGGGGCACCTCAACGTCCTAAAGAAACAAATCATAGCTTTTAGAGGACAAGAAGAGATGCGCTCATGAAAGAATCACCTGACAGCATCAGGGGAGACAGCTGTACTAGGGCTCCCCCTCCTTTTCTGCCACAGATCTCCCATGGAATTTTGTGTTTGTTCATTTAAGGAGGTCACCAATGACTTGGTGTTGGTCATGAAACTAATATCCCATGTGACTCACAGCATCCTCAGACCATTCCCAAGAGACCCTGGCATGTTCTCCCTTGCCACACACGAGCCTGAGGAAGGCTATCTTGTGGCCTGAGGCCAGGGCCACTGTGTGCTGCGGCTCCTGAGGGGCAGACTGGCTGGGTCATCCTGTCTCAAGCCTCAGAGCAGGAGCCACAGAGCCTAACCCTCTCGTTCCACAGCTGAGGAACCACAAGTCCAGAGACGTGGAGTGACCTGTCTGAGGTGACACGGTGATTAGAATCCTAACTCTGGCCCCAGTGCTTTTTCTAGCCCCATGGTAATTCAGTTAGTTGTCAGGTTAGAAAGAAAGGGGTCCTCAACTAAATCAGAAAAACTCTGTGTTCAGAGAGAAATTCTCAACAGGACCAAAGAAGAAATCAGGTTCAGACCAGATTTAAGATAACAAGGTTGGTCCTTTTTTTTTTTTTTTTTTGAGACAGAGTCTTGCTTTGTTGCCCAGGCTAGAGTGAGTGCCATGGCGTCAGCCTAGCTCACAGCAACCTCAAACTCCTGGGCTCAAGCAATCCTCCTGCCTCAGCCTCCCGAGTAGCTGGGACTACAGGCATGCGCCATCATGCCTGGCTAATTTTATATATATATTAGTTGGCCAATTAATTTCTTTCTATTTATAGTAGAGACTGAGTATTTTCTACGATAAATTTTCTATTTATAGTAGAGATGCTCTTGCTCAGGCTGGTTTCGAACTCCTGACCTCGAGCAATCTGCCTGCCTTGGCCTCCCAGAGTGCTAGGATTACAGGCATGAGCCACTGCACCTGGCCACAATGTTGCTCTTGAGGAAACTTATTTTTTAAACTTTGCTTATCTCTTTCTTTTTAAAAAAATTTAGAAATTATCATGGATATAAAATAGTTGTACATATTTATAGGGCACATGTGATTTTTTTTTCTTTTAGTTTTTTCTTTTCTTTTTTTCTTTTTTTATTCTTTTCATCAACTGTACCTGGGGACACATGTGATGTTTTGATACAGGTATACAGTGTGTGGTAATCAAAGCAAGGTAATGGGGTTATCCATCACCTCAAGAATCGATCATTTCTTTGTATTAGGAACATTCCAATTCCACTCTTTTAGTTATTTTTAAATATATAATAAATTATTGTTAACTGTAGTCACCCTCCTGTGCTATTGCCTACTAGATCCTATTAATTCTATATAACCGCATTTTTGCACCCTTTAACCATCCTCTCTTTATGCCCCTTTTCACAACCCTTCCCAGGCTCTGGTAACCATCGTTCTACTCTCTATCTCCATGAGCTCAACTTTTTTTTTTAGCTCCCACATATGAGACAGACATATGACATTTGTCTGTCTGTGCCTGACTTATTTCACTTAACATAGTGTCCTCCAGTTCTACCCATGTTGTTGCAAATGTTAGGACTTCATTCTTTTTTATGGCTGAATAAGATTCCATTGTGCATATGTACCACATTTTCTTTATCCATTAGCCCATGGACACTTATGTTGATTCTATATCTTGGCTATTATGGATAATGTTGTAATAAATATGGGAGTGCAGGTATTTCTTCAAGATACTGATTTTCTTTCTTTTGGATATATACCCAGCAGTGGGACTGCTGGATCATATGGCTGTTCTAGTTTTAGTTTTTTGAGGAACCTTCATTCTGTTTCCCATAGTGGTTGCACTAATTTACATCCCCACCAATGGTATATGAGGATTCCCCTTTCTCCACATCCTCACCAGCATTCCTTATTCCCTGTTTTTTTGATAAAAGCTATTTTAATTGGGGTGAGACGATATCTCATTGTAGTTTTGATTTGCATTTCTCTGATGATTAGTGATGTTCAG